ACCCATTGATAACCAATGGAGATACATCATGCACCTAGCTTGAATGATGAGGCTGTCCCATAGGCTGGACTTGATTATGACCTTGATGTGGTGACATGTATTTTTGAATTATGCTAATGTCACAATACAATCCTGTCCATTGCAAGGTTGATTGAGACTTTCCTAAGGTCCGCCTATAGGAAAGTGATAGTTGTCAATGCCCAAAATGGTGTTGTTGATCAAGTCACACAAACAAGGCTTGCTATGTGTCTTTCCATGTTGAAAGACAAGTCGATCTCCACTCCAACAATCAAAAGGAGTTTACAGGTCATAATTTAAAATCACAATCATTTCACATCAAACTCTATCCTAGACAGACTCCTTCAACCGGTTGTCAATTCTATTGGTCTATTAGAAAGAGCAACAACCTCAGTTGGTGACATCTGGCATGAAATTCTCACCATTTACAAGCAACATTAGATGCTGTGGAAAAGAAGACTGCATCTGGGGCTGGATGGGCCAGATGGGCCAGATGTACACAGAGTGGAGCTGCCAAGTGGTCCACACAAAACAAGGTTTTGAATTACCAAAGCTAAGACTGAAGTGCATGAAAAAGATGGGAATAAACAATAACACAAAACCCCTATGGGGTGTCCAGAGGCTACAACTAATTACACCACTTGAGTGGTTCTGTACTCTACCACAACGCAATTAAAAAGAACAAATGTTGAAATCTCAGAAAACAAATCAAATTAAGGATAACACAGAGAGAGTTTTTCAATTTTACAAAAATTAAACAATATAAAGATAAAAGGGCCAGTATTAAATAATTGGTAAGTATCAAATTTGGATTATATATATATATAGATTTCAAAGGCTTGACTATTGTTAGTAACTTATTAGTGGAGTATGAAACTGTACATAAACAAGAAATGGAAGCTTGTATTTTCCTAGAGGCAAAGTTTGCCTTGAAGATAGATGTATCAGTCCTATTGAGATGAAAATGTATTCTCTAAAAAACATTAAGCTGGTGTAGGAGGGTGGGAAGAAAAATTATGACAATGTGAGAAAGAATGAGAATTTGGAGAATGGAGTGATATGTTGAATGAAGCAACCATCTTGAGAATGTAACCATTATCAGAAGATGAATGTGACTGAAGGAATGGTTGGATGGAAACAGTGGGGTAACAAATTGGGTGTTTGTTTTTCAATGCTGTGTCCTTGTATCTGGACTGGTTTGGAGATTTGGCATTCCAATAGTTGAAGTCAAAAGGTTGGGGATCAATTTTGCAAAGAGTTATCTACTTCAGCAGGCCCCCAGAAAGCCCCTATGGACTCATCCAACAAAAATGGTATCAATTGGAGGTCAAGATTTGGGCTATGTTACCAACAAAAGACATATTAAGCAGCAAATATTGGACAAATAAGAAAAAAACTTATCAACAAAAAACACCAATACAGGTATCAATTCTGTATTGATTGGCATGTCACAAGTGTAAAACCATGGAAAAAAAGTGTGTTACCAGCAGAAAAGGATCAAAACTGCCCAAATCAAGGCATAAACTGTTGGATGTTACCAACAGAAATGGCATCAAAGGCCTCAAGAAGCCACTTTTTTCAGTATGAATCAATTGATTTTTTTTGATTTCCTGTTGGATGGTTCCACAGGAGCTTTCCGGGGTTCTACTTCAGCAATACACATACCAATTCTGTAAGATTTTCAGATCATTGTTTTTCTATTCTTTCCAGCAACTGATTCCACTTAGTTAAAAGGGTACCAACTTTGAAACTTCAAAAGGTCAATCTTTCTCTGTATTCACAATTTCTGCCTTACAAATCCCACTGTATCAAAGTTTTGAATAAGCAAGCCAAGGTCTTTGACCAGCCAATAAACATTGCTGGGTTCTTCTTAAATCCACTGTATAGTACATTGGCTGTCTTTTGAGCATGCATAATTGAACAAATGACAAAGATTAATCTGACCAATAGCCAGATTATGGAAATAAAAAAAATGTTGATGCCATTCCTCTTGAGGATCAAGTACAACATCACTATAGTGGCAAAGGAGCTTTTCAATCAGCTGGAAAAGGTAAGATCTTTCCCCCTTTTCTCAATACCAATTTGCAAATGTTGATGCTTCATGCTGGTCTTGTAATCTCTGCAGCTTGCAACTACTGGATCACAATTCCAACAACTCCCCATACAGCAATTGTAAAAAACTTTGCACTTAGGATCCACAAGCTTGTGGCACATGCAGCTGGTGCTGACGGTGTTTTCAGTGTCATGGGAGCAACCAAAACTAAGTATTGAAATGCTATGACTGTGCCACACCTGGAGTTGATATCTCAGATTGAACTCAAATTGAGAGCTGAAGACAATGCTTGTGAAGATGTGAAAGGAGAAGAAATAATTACTGTAGATTATGAGGATGAGTCCAATACTGGCATTTTCTTGGGCATTGAAGACCTGCAAGAATTTGAGGATGGTGTTTTTGCTCAACATGACTTACATGCAGAAGTTGATATTGATGTGCATGAGGATGGCTTCATTGAGTCTTTGTTTGATCTCAGTGTTTTTGATCATACACCAGATGATCATACCAATCAAGCAAAAGATGATGACATTGTTAGTGAAGGTGACTCTTGGGATGAGAATGACCTCTGTGGATAGTCATATGTGTATACTTGTCTTAGTTGAAGGCACTTTCAAGGCCCATGATTATAAAAATTTCACATTTTTGTCTCTTAATATTGTGCCTTTTGTGCCCTCTTGCATCCCCAGCCAAAAAACAGGTGCACCTGTTGCCAGCCTTGCGCCCACCACATGGCCCAGGGCTGTGACCTAGCCTCGAGTGTGACAGGGCGGCCCTGGGGCACTGCCCGGCCTTGGGCAGACCCGAGGGGATCCAGAAATCAATCAGGGCCAACCGGGGCTCACCCTGAATTGATTATAAGATCTGAAAAGGACCATATGGAGAAATTTCTGGTGTTTATTGCACCTTTACGTGTATGAAAATGTATATAACACTTATGTGAGCCTACTAAGAGCTTGAAAAGAGCCATGGGAGCCTACTCAGGAGGCATTTTTTTGATTATTCAACAAAAAAAATGACGGGCAACCATGCCTGCAGGGCTTTTATAACCCTGGTGGTTTTGGTGTGTCAGGGCACGTGCTGTCTGCTTCCAGAAAGGCAGCGGGCCCAGTTAGCCGGGTGGGTCCAGGGCCGGGTCACAGCCCTGACTTTGACCGCTCCCGTGGTGTATGTGTATCGATTGGTCGGGAATTGTGCTTTGTTATTTTATTTTAGAAACTGTAGTTTTTGATCGAAGTTGTGATTGAAAAGTACTTTAATTGGAAACTGCATCTTGACTTTTGATGTTACAATTGAGTTGTGACATTCAACTCAATTCGGTCTTGCATTCCTTTCGATCCTCTCCCTTCATCTTGGTCACACAAGTTATAGTATTTATGAACTTCCTGGATATCCTTTCTCATCATCCTACAACTCTCATCCGGATTTCTCAACATGGACTTTAACAAAAACTCCACAGCCATTGCTCAAGTCATGTCACCTTCAGCTACTCATCCTGGGCACTCCCTTCCTTCAGCTACGTCAATGTCTCATACACACATTCGCTCACTGGCCAATCAAAATGTCCACCAAGGTTCAATTTCTCTCGAACTTCAACGTAATTACCTCAACGATTGTGTTAAAGCTGTTCCCAGCGCTTCTCCTCTTGTCACACCTGAGATGGGTGAAAGATTGTGTCGAATGGCTTCCCAGCATTAGTTGAGCACTTTGCCTGCATCTTGTTGTCTCATCTGTCTGATGCCATCTTGTTTTCTCTCCTTTTTTGGGATTGCCCTCTCCATAGTATGTCTGACTACAATCGCTATAAACGAGGGCAACATCCCAACCCGCTCCTTTCACAACAACTCCCACAGCCTAATTATACTACACCTGGCGTTACCTCTCAACATCAGCAAGGCTATCCAAGGGTAGTTGATCGTCCTGCGGAAAGGCTTCCAGCATGTCCACCATTCCAACATCATGTCACAGTTCCTGCTGGAGTCTCTTCTGACCAAACTCAAGCCTCGAATCAACCTACTCAGCCTCTGCCCAAAACTTCAGTGGTTCACGGTTAGTCGCCATATCTTTATTCCTTCAACTCTAACCCATGTTTTGTCCTGGTTTCAATGCTTAAAACACTTACTGACACCTACTTGGCTTCCTGTGAAGATCACCAATTCGCCTCGTCAAATCCATCTGATCTTGTTGAGTCAAATCCTGAAAAGAACCTCAAATCATCCCAGATGGTGTTCAATCCATCCGCTACATCAACAGGTCAGTTGCAGCACAAAGGACATCCTTTTCAGATCTCCATATCTCTGCCCATTGATGCTCATAAGTCTTTTGCACCTTCCCCTCTCTGCCGTGCACTGATCGAATTTCTGCCATGAAATATCAAACACTCGATCTCTCTGTGACCGTTGCAGCTTCCAATGGCTATAATCACCACCCAATGCCAGTGGATGCTGTCACAAATCCCGCCACGATGGAGTCAAAACTAGCAAACCCTACCGAGAAGCGCAAATTTCAAGATAGAACACCTAGCCCCGCTGCAGAACAGCTCGCGTTAGACGGTGGCCACACGCTCATTGGAGTTGTTAGCGGAGATCATGTGGCAACCAAGCCAGATGTTGTCAAGACTGTACACGGAAGTTCAGTGAAGACCAGTCAAACTCACCCCATGAAGTAAGCCCCCTTGAATTCAATGACGACTGCTATGACATGCGGCTTACTGACTCAATTTGTGGTATAGTATCTCACCTGTTGTTCCTCCCGAATTGTCGGTCGCATTGGCGGACTTCTATCTCACATCGCCAATCACCAACGAGCAGCCATTGCCAAGCTTACCCGTGGACTTGTACGATCTCACTGGTCCCCATGCTAGCCGTGCATACGAAGAATTCCACATTCATCACCAGCAGCGCCTTTACCATTTCAGTCAACATCATCAACCTGGACTCCCTGTAAAGGACAGCCCCCTAGGTCAATCACCTCCGAGTATCAATGCTGTTAGGCTCGGAAACATGTTACTGTCCTCCTGCCCTGGTAAGAAGGTCCGGATGTTTGACACGCTAGCTCAGAGGCAAGCAGCCGGAAATCGCTCTCCAATCTGTCGCGATCTCAAATCAGATCTCTCACGAGCCCAATCAATAGGGGTCCGGGCCATCATCTGTTGCCTTGATGACGAAGAACTCAATTATCTTGGTTCGCCTTGGCCAGAGTACCAAGCAGTAGCATCAGCCTGTGGTCTAGCGGTGATTAGAATTCCGATGGCCGAAGGTTTTGCGCCTCACAAAGGAGTTGACGAAATCGATCGAGTGATCCAAATTGTTTTGGAGAACTGGACAATGAAAGGCTACGACGTATTGTGTCATTGCCGAGGTGGAGTGGGAAGAGCAGGTCTGGTGGCGTGTTGCTGGATGCTAAAGATTGGGTTGATCAACAAACCTATTCATGACATTGAACACGATCATCCTCGAATGGACTTGGCTAATTTCAACCCAGCTACAAAGGGACAGACGCCACATCCTGTGCCTCGCAATTCAGTCCTTGTTCAAGTGGAGAAGGTCATTGAAGTGATCCGAAGGAGGAGAAGGTAAGAGATTGTTTGATCTCTATCCTATTCTACACGTTTTGACTTATCTACTATTTACGATATTCATTTGTAGCGTCAAGGCGATCGAAACCCCTCAACAAGTTCATTTTATCATGGAATACGCTGATTGGCTCGATCATCAAAGAAAGTGAAAATTAATACTTATCGTTAAATACCATTCTAATCAGACCTATTGAGATGACGTTTTCTATTCGTCTTATAAGGTATCATGTAATCTCTCCTCAGTTAGACTGACTCATGCATCATCTATTTTCCGTTACATTGTTTTTTTCGGACGATGTGAATCGCATTGACATTTAGATTGTATCTTCGTCTACTAATGTATCCGAATTGATTGGAATAACCTTGCAGAACACCCTTTCAATTCTCGCACCCGTTATTTTTCTTCTTTTCTTCTTTTTCCCTCTCTCTCTCTCTCTTTCTCTATAGCATTTCATTGAGTCTTCATTTTTTCTATTTTTTTTACTTATTTGTTTTGTTATTCTCATTTGATGAACTATTTTGATTGTGTACTTTTCTTCAGTCATCTAGGTCTTTGATACCTATGTCTCTCATTTTTGTTTTTGTTTTGTTATGAAGTTGATCGATTAGATGTTTGATTTGGTAATTAAGAGATGAGTAGGAATCAGTTTAATTTATAAGGTTTTAACAGACCGGTTTGTTTTGGTCCAATCCATCCGATTTTGGAATGAGTTTGATGAAGCGTGGCTTTGAGTTTCATTTTCTTCATGTAAGTACTCATATACAAACTTTGAATTCAGTCAAGACAAGTCTTTTTAATTAAGCACTTTTCGTAAATCTCTTCACTTTTATTGGAAGTTTCTTTTAAAACTATCAATGATGATCTGATTATGTAAAAGCCATCGTTTTCAGAATGTATGATGATCAGCATTGGTTTAAATTGGTTTGAGAGAATTGAGTTGTAGATCTGGAATGCGATAGTGATCGGAACTTAGTCATGATGATGATTAATTAATTAATTCTTTTCACTAGTTTCAACTTCCAAATTCTTCGCAGCTATGTACCTTAAAGTTGACCATCATGATCATCGATCAGAAGAGAGCTTACAAAACCTTAGACACACTCAAGTTGAAAATTCCAATTCAAACTTAGATGAGATCGACGGTGTTTTACATAATTTGGACTTTCTACATCTCTTTGAATGTCGTCATCTAGATTGATTATCTTTTATGTAACAAGTTTTCAAAAAATATTAAATCAATCAACCTGATCCGATTAAAATCTTCAAATCTTAATCTTTCAAGTGAAGTTAGCTCAAGTGATCTTGCTAAGATTTTTGTTTGTATCTTGGTCATCTTGTGAAGTTGTGTACATATGTTCACGATCCAGAATAAACTTTCAGATTGGATCGGATCACACAGCCAATTTGAGTGTGATGTATGAGTTTAAATGAAGATGAAGATGATTAAAGTATCTTTGTAAGCGTCAGATGATGACGAATTTAAAGTTTCTGATTGGATGGTCAGAAATTAGAATTTTTGATGTTTGTCATCATGATCGAGATTTGAGAATCTGAAGAACTGACGCGATTTGAGAAAGAGATGTGAATCGAAATTTAAATTTAAATCAATCAGATTTCGAAACGTAAGCAAACTTGAGTAAATCATGATTATGTACATACATAAACCATCACCCAGAGAGTGAGTGAGTGATGAGTGAGTCATGAATCATGATTAAACCGATTCGATCCAATTCTTTCGTATTGTCAAGTTTCAAGTCGATTGACAGATTAAATACAGTTAAATTGGTGATCGTCAAGATTTGATGATGAACATTTTAGAATTCAATCAGCTTGTGATGGCTTTCAAGTTTCAATACTCGGTTTTCAGAATCATGGATTGATTTTATTAATTCAATTCAACTTTGCTTTCATAATTCAAGTTTGATTGATTGACCAAAACAAAACTGTTGTCCAATCTATCTATAAAACTCAAACTTATCCTCATCTTTATATTCTTCTTAAACCCTCTCAAAATCTTCACTCTTGTCTTTATCAATCATACATTTTGATTGATTAATTCTGATTTAGGCTCAATCTTCTCAACAATTAATCAAAGTGAAGATCTAGATAGTGATTATTGAATTATTGTGGGTCATTCTGATACGATAAGAAGACCGGCGTTGTAATCAAAACATTTCTCAAATTACAATAACATATAACTCTTATTATTGAATCATCATGAACTCTTCTACTTTGGCACCTCTCCTTAATCTTCAAACCTCAGATTCAACTTATCGATCAAAGTCTACTTCAAATCCTTCAACTAGCACTAGGAATGATAGGGTAGATGCTAAGAATCATTCAGGAATTTCATATCCTGATCATGAACAGCATTCATCATCTCAGCATCAGCATCAGCATCATCAGCATCTTACATCCTCTCCTTCATCATCTACTTCATCAGACTCTTCTTCATCTGGTCTAGATCACGATATTGATAGCACTGACAATGATCATAAAAGTCCATCTCGTGAATCACATCCATGGCCATTCTCTACTTCAGTCACTTTACTCTCCGATCATGCCGATCATACTTTATCTGATCATCCATCTCATTCTCGCTCCTCACTAAAACATCCTATTCCTCTTCTCAATCAATCTCAAACTATGAATTCTCCCGAACAACTCTATCAGTATGATCAACAACAGTCTTCTTATCATTCTTATCGACCAGAATGGACTTCACTTCCTATCTTGGAAGAAACTTCTCCGGAACCTCATCAGCCACCTTACAAACGAACCCGTACTTCTTTAAGCCCTTCTCAATCTTCCTCAATCAAACTACCGAAAAGTCAATTTCAAACTGCTCCTAAGGATGAATCACCAAATCTCTATTTTTCTTATCACGATCATCATTCTCCTTCGAAAACAAAAGAAGATTTACATCTATCAGGCTTCGAATCGCTCTGTTCACCGCATTCTGAGGCTGATCAGCGCGCTTTGAATGCGCGCCCGCTTAAAAATACCAGTTTCGTCATTTTCCCATTGATTTCTCTGCAGGATGATTTCACTAACAGAAATGCGTTTGATAGAACGTGCGGCCCAGAATCGTGCAGCTCAACGTGCGTTCCGAGAACGTAAGGATCGATATGTACGAGATCTCGAGACTCGATCCGCTCAATTCGATGCCTACGTCTCACGTCACAATCAGCTGGAGGAACGTGAAAGAAACTTGGCAGCGCGTGAAGCCAAGTTACAATCGAGATCCCCTTCAAAAGATCCGATCCGAAGGCAAACTATGCCCGACCAAACTCCGCATGACCCGAAAGATGACGAACGAGAACGGATGCTTCATCTACAAAATGAACTGGATGTAGCACGTCGAGAAATCCACTCTTTACGATCAAGATTGTCAACTGACTCAAATGTAAAGACTTCCAACTCAAACCCACCTTGTCCCGAATCCCATTCGGTCAACCAAGCTGAACGAAGACATTCAACTCCATCTATCTTTACTCATTCAATCCAATCTGAACATCCTTCCAGTTTCTTGTCATCACATGATACACCTACTTTACGTCCCATCAATCCTCCTTTCCTACGTAGGTATCCACATTCTTCTAGTTTTAAGTCTTGATGTGATTTCTTTACCTCTTGTGGCTCGTGATTTCTGAGTGAATTGTAATGAAGATAATGCATGTGTAAATTGATTAACAGAGATTTGAAATTGGATTTTGACATTGTGGGTTTTGTTTGAGACGCTTGAGAGGATTTCTGGAAATTGAGTCAGGTAGACTATTTCTTATTTTTATCAATAATGATTTCTAAACCTGTTCTTCTCTTGCAAATCAATCACCATTCATGTTTACAAAGGTCAACTCAAGATCTTCTGGTTTAATCAATAATGTAAAAGTCACCTGGAATTCAAAGTTTTAGTGGTTGATTTTGTTTGAGAATATTCAGCTTGATAAATTACGATGAATGGAGAAAGCTTCCCAATACTTCCCTTGATATATCACCAAATGCGTGTTAGGAATTGGATGTATGACACTTGAAAGAGTTGGTTTTTAGAAGCTTTTGAGACAAAACATTAAATCATTCATATTCTTTTGTCATTCATGTGTTCAAGCTTTGATTGGTTATTTGGGTCAATAATACCAAACCAATTGGAAGATTGGTCTCCTGATGAAGGTTTATCAATGTTTGGCACATAAATTCAGTTTGATAACTGTGTATATGTACACAGATATCACACCTGGGGTTCATGAAAATATTCCTACAAGATCCAACCCAATGTTGGCCTGAGAATCAAATACTAAATAGTGGGGCTTTATTTTTCCATCTGAAAGAGAATTCTACATACTCTCCTGGATAAGAGTAACCTATAAGTACCATGAATGTGTATACCTTGAAAATTTGAACAGTTCACTCAAGGTGCATGGTTGTCTAGCCAATTATAAGAACAAACTTGAAGAGTGATCAAATGTGTCACTCCATGGAAGTTAACTCTCTGTGTGGGATGATCTGCATTTGAGCAATTTTTAGGTCTTTGATCATTGGCCTGAGTTCTTAAGCTTCCAAGCTTGTTTAATTGAGCACATGAGTTGGTACAGCCAAGTTTAAGTGTGTGGTACCTCAATATCTATATCACATGGTATAAGCTTGGTCTGTGTTTTACTATTCTCAAGGCAACATTGGTATTTCTCTGTTATGATCCCATTTGATGGATCATGGTTTCACAACTGGTGACACTTACAGGCCTTGAGCCGCACTCGTGCTAGACAGCACATCCCACTTTGCTTGCTTTCCTTACACTACAATAACTATATATACCAACTAGTGCATCACTTTTCCCACTGCCCCCCAACACCCCAGTCATAACATGTTCTTACCTCAGAAAACTATACAAAATGGTGAACAAAACATAACCCTAGAAGACTCTTTCAGCTCCCAGTTGTAATCATGTTCAGGTATTTGTGGTCTGATAGAAATGAAAATTAAAATCATACAAAAAATGTGACTGATGTATAATTCAAATCATTACAATTATAAGACGGGAGACAAAAGAATAAAAAAATCAAGAAAAGTTACTCTAGATATTTAATGATGGGCCATAGGTTGAAAGAATTATCTATCATGTATATTGTACATTTAAATACCCAATTAACATGTATTCACTTCACAATCCCTCCATTGTTTTCTTTGAGGTAAAGAAATAAAATCATGAGATATGGAAGTCTGATAGGTATAAATTTCAATGTATCAAAACACATCTTGTTGTATGAATGCATGAAGATATCAACATTGGATTCTGGAACGCTTGGGTTTGCAGAGATTGACAAGCCCAGTTTATACAATAGCCGGTCTCAAAGTAAAACCGGGTTTGCAAAAACCCGGTACACCCAGTCATTTTTTGGCGGGGACTGGGTGTACCACGGTACACCCGGTTGGGACTTCAGGTTTCAGACCCAAATACTCACCTCCGATCAAGTGGGAGTCCAACCTACCCTCCTCCTTGGTCCTCGATGCCAACCTCCACAACCCGCCGCGACGTCTTAGCCTACCTGAAGTGTTTCTTTGCACTTCAGGTGGCGTCCCTGGCCACCAACTATTACGATTCAAGGACAAATCCCACCAACTTCACTACCATCTTGGCCGCCGTTATACTTCTAGATCAGCTCAATTCAGATGGCGATGAAGCTACAGTCAATTCCAACATTCAAGACACTCTCCTGTTGATGGCCTCTCAATTAATCGTGACTAGTACCTTCGAGTCCATGTCTCTCACTAGATCTCAAAAACGCCAACGCCTGGATGACAAATCTACCTTGGCAATCTTAGCTTTTGGAATAGAACGAGCTCAGAAGAAACGTTACCTTGCTCCTAGAATCCCCCATGTGTGGCGCCGTGAGAGAAAGGTGGCTTGTTTTGACGAATGGTGGAATGAAGGTGATCGGACATGGTTTGTTGCAGTACGTCAAGGCCATTGTTTTTTCCAGGTTTCAAATTAACTGATGTTTTGATTGCTTTAGGCCCGGATGTCAAAGCGCGCGTTTAACAACCTTGTCTATCAGATTGAAGGTGATCCAATTTTTTATAACAATTCATCCTTCCCTCAAGCTCCGGTCAGATGGCAGCTATTGGTTGCAATGGCCAATTTTGGTCTTTCTGGTAATGGAGGGCAGTGTCGTGTCTTAGCGAAGCTATTTTCAATGGCCGGTAAGCCCATTAGTTTATCTCACTGGGAACATATTGGGTGCTGACAGTTACTTCAGAAGGGAGTGTGGATAATTATACTTACCGTTGTATCTAGGCCATCAACAGAATTGAATCTTGATATGTCAAGTGGCCTACACCTGAAGAACAAAAGATCATCAAATCTGCTATCGGGGCTTCATCGTTTTTCAAGGACTGTGTCGGTTTTATTGATGGAACCCTTATCCCTCTAGCGTATGCGCCCCAGAAGAACTGTGAAGATTATTACTGTTGAAAGTCGATCTATGCTGTGAATTCGATGATCATTTGTGATCATCGAAGACGTATCATCTATGCTCACCATGGGTGGTGTGGTAGTGCACATGATCAAAGAGTGCTCAAATCATCAGAGGTGAGTCCAACATTATCAATTGTCAGGGATGAGTCACTTGTCACTGACAGATGGGTTCTGCAGTTTTTTAAAAAAATTGAAGGGTTTTTTAGCCCAGGGGAGTACCTCTTAGCAGACTCTGGTTACAGTTCATCAAAGTTCATAGTTCCCGCTTTCAAGAAACCTAGAAATCAAGAGCTCGATCACCCTCATCGTCATTTCAATTTTGCATTAAGTCTGGCTCAAATTGTCTCCAAACACACCAATGGGGTTTGGAAGGGTAGATTTCAATCTTGTAAGGAGTCTAGGATTGTTATCAAAGGTAGAAAGAGTGCGAGCCACCTCAATGCTTGGCTTTCCGCGTGTGTGGTGATACATAATTATGTTGAAGAGGAAGATGGGACGTTTGATTTAGGTTCAACAGATGATTGGGAGGGACACCGAGAGCCATTTCCAAGTGACGAGGAAGAGGTCTTGGCGGCTATGGGCAACGCACGTTTATCCGATCAAAGACGCGAGCATTTATTTCAGGAATTTCTCAGTAATATGTCTTGATACTATGGGTCAGATCCTCCGAGTCTGAAGTGTGATCTCTACAATTTCCAGGGCTTCCTATTATGTAACTACGTCTCTTCAGTGTTCTCACTGTCATTCCTCACCGACACATGAAATGTTTTTACTCTTCTCAAACAAGTTTGCAAGGTGTAAGTGTAGTATTTTTGAAATGTGATTCTTTTCAAATGCTTTACGAGTTCCCAAAACCAAGCATTCAAACTCGACTCAAATTCGCTATGGGATTCTTTCGCAATATGAGAACTTGAACAAGGTAAATAGATTGATTTCAAAACAAGAACGAGACAATTTTGTTTAGCCATCATAGGGGGGAATAAAGTGAGATCAAGATAAAAAATTGCTTGGTAGTATTTGATTTTGTTTTTACATAAACAGATAAATAAACGAGACAAAAAATTTTTAAAGTGAGTATTTAGCAGATGACCAGAGCACAAATTTTTTTGGGGGAATTTATTTTGGTTTTGAAACAAAAACAATAAAAAAACGAGACCAGAAAAAAATTATTTGATTGGCCAATTCGCCGATTTGATAGATGATCACGTTTGGATCTGACAGCAGTATATAAACATATGTGTCAGTTTATATATCTATAACGTAAGCTCTCCAAAAAGCAAAGAGCTTACCTTATTCGGTCCTATAGTACCAACCTGATGGGTACTATGGAGTCCCGTAGTACATATCCAAATCATCAGATGAATGGTATCTCCTTGGGCTTTTGGGCTCAGAGCCCGATGATCCTTCAGAAGGGGGGGGCTTGGATGACCCCTCCAGAGTACACTTACTACTACTGGTGTGAGGGATTTGAGGCTCTTCAGGCCCAGGGTACATCATGGAAGCCTTTCTGAATGCTTCATCAAAATTGTCGCCCATCGCCATGAACCTGGTGACCGCTTCCCCACGTAGTTGCTCGCGTTTGAGCTTAACATCCTCTTGGCGATTGGTTGACATGGCCGTGATGGCGTTGGCGATCTTTGAATTCAATCGCATATGCTCTTTATCCTTCTTTTGAGAGTCTTTCGCCGCCATTTGACGTTCTTCTTTTGAAGGTAAGAAATCGTTCATCAAGGTTTGTAGACCAAGAGTGTCTCGACTAGCACTGCCGTTCCTCGAATTGCGCCTCTCGCCTAGAATCACAGTTAGTCAGCATCTGTACCTGGACCACATACACCAAGCCATACTTACGCTTAGTTTGCCTGCGTCCCACCTCACGCACCCATGTGCCATCGTCCTTTTTGATCACTTCCTTCACATCCTCATCGGATGCTGCATAGCCTTCTTTCATATCCAAGTCATCCTTATCATCTAAATCATCCAGTTCTAAATCCAACACGCTACGTTTCAATTTCGACTTCGAATCCAAACCAAACGACTCAAAAGATACATTCCCTAAGGTGTCACGAGTCGCCTCAGGGATTATGTTGGATCTTTCCAACATCACCGTTTCCAAGAGACAATACCAAGGACACACCGCGATCGCTTTCTCTAAAGAACGAACAGAAAGACATGAGTATAACTATGATGCCTGATCGGTTAGTTTTCAAAACTAACATACCCAATGCAGTTCCTTTTTCAGGAGCTTTACCCTTCTTCGATTTAGCTAACTTGCCCACAATTACCTCCTCACCTTCGCTATCTACGGTTTGCGATATTAAATCTAACTTTTCAAGCTCCTCCTTGTAATCGTCATTGTTGAGAACACCCTGGCCCGTTGAGTTAATTTGTTTGAAGCCAGCTTTGAATTGTTCTTCAAGGTACTTGATCTACGTAATTGATCCAGAAAAATCATGAGAAAAAACAAATCAATACCAAACCACGTGAAGTGGGAAGTGGTAAGCAGACCGTACCTTCTTGTCCACTTCTCTAGGTGATCAATCAATTTGGTGGCTTTCCTTCATATGAGCCGCGCAGATAGCGGCTACTGCAATCTTGCTTGGTTTTTGACTTTTCCAACGTTGAAAGTTATCGTCCTCGGCCAACCATAAGGCAACGACATCGATGTCAGACAAGCCATTGGGCCGCTTTGCGAACCAAGAGACTTGACCACTCTTGGACTCTTCAAAAACCTCAATATCAGACTTCTTCGGACGGCCCCTTTTTTTCTTTTCAGGGACAGGTTCTGAGGCATGAGGGTTTGTTGATTCCATTGCTGAAACGGAACCCAAGTCAGGCTCAGGCTGAGATCCTGGACTCATGAGCGGACCGTGATTGAAATTCGCAGAGGGGGCTTGAAAGGGATAGTTGATGTATCCCGGAGCAATCACGCGGGATCCGCCACTTGCGAGAACCTGTAGATGGATGAGGTCGGCTTGAGAGAGATGAGCAGAGGGGGATCCTTGACCAGCTGAAATGATAGGAATTCCCGATAGCGAAGATACAGAAGATAGAGAAGATAGATTTCCGGGATTTGCTGGAGTCGAAGTGATCAAAGGCGTACTAGCTGTATATGTAGGTAGTGAGGCGCTTTGCTTCTTTGTGGTTTTTTTGTGTGGCATGGTGGTGGCTTAAGTGGCTTGTATTAACTTTGAAAGTCAACTTTGTAGATGTGTGGAGGGAAAAGGGTGAACTTAAAAGTTTTCACCGATTGGCTTTTTGCTGACCTACCCAGTTCACCCGGTTCAGAAACAACTGGGTGTACCGGGTTTTTTGGCAACCGGGTTTGGTTTGAGACCGGCTAATATTTCTGATATATATTTGTATTCACTCTGTTAGATATACTGATACAATGACAATGTCTTGCAAATGAGCTTCCAGCACTGTCAAGAAACTTCACAGCAACTTATACACACTGACTCCTTTTGTGTCCACTTTCTGTTTCCCAATACCAAACCAGAGAATATCAACAAACACTAGCCATATACTGTACCTAGCTACCACCAAAGGCAATTAAAATTGTGCCAGTGATGAGCCAACCGGAATATGTATCAAAAGGGTGGAAAATCCCTTGTGTCAGACAAATGTGCACAAGGTTAGGCACCCCAAATGAAGTGATCATACATTGTAGCTTTCATAATTACTTATGATGGCTTTTTGGACCCCCCAAAAATCAATTTTATTGTGGTCATGAGATCATCATAGCCTATAACCCAAGGCTAATACTTATACTTGTTATAGACCAAACTCAAATATATACCCAACCTGTGCACTGTGTAGTTGATATACACACCACATAGCATTCTAATCATACCATTTGAATGAACTACCACTATTCAATGTCCAGCATATAGTGAAACCATCTCAATTGTTGAGAACAGATTATAAGTGATTTCATGGGTAGAAAAATGTTTGTTTAAGATTTGTGCTCACTTGTATATGTTCAAAGCACACACACACCAGCTGATGTTGAAGTTGATTTTTGATTTTTTGAAGACTTACCTAAAACATGAATTTCAATTTAGAGATGTGAGAATCTAGTTTTGATTGAATAGGGGCAAACATTCCATTTGGTGAGGGCAAGTTTGATGGACTTGCACTACTATGTGAGTTGATACATGTAATCTTACATACACTACCTGTTCTTAACTTTCACAATTGCTATGTGTTGGTAGAGCTGTTTGGGATGGCAGCCGCAGGCCGGATTGGTTTGGCTCCTAGTGCACAAAGCAACAGTCACTCCTGGAACCTGAAGCAAATCCAAGCTTGGCAATGAGTTTTTGGTGAGTGCCATTGAAAGTCACAGGATATTTAAAAATAAATGATTAGATTTGTCAGAAAGGTGTCTACTCTGAGGAAGATCAAAGAGTACACACACCTCATCATGAGTTTGACTGCTCTGTTATAGTACCCATAGCTCAGCCAAATTTGAGAGTGTCCAAGGGGGACTGTTGGCTACTATTCAAAGATATTTTCAGGTGCCACCATCCATATTGGTTCTAGTGTAGTTGATGATGGTTAGAAAAGGGAAGAGGTATGGTCAAGTGGCTTACCATGTTGCTGGCTATAGTGAGCCCCTGGGTACAGGGCATTGCTCCACCATACAGCAGATTAAACCCAACCCTGGCCCATTGTGGGGCAGCCACTGTGCTATATTGGGATATTCCCTCCCCCAAAGTGTAGTGCACAGACTCTGCCATATATAGTGTAAAGTTTGTGGGGTCAAAAACTACTATTCAACTGCTCCACAATTGGAGAAAGAATAGTGGAGTGGTTGTGGTAATGGATTAGTAGTATCCTGAAAAAAAGTGCACAGCTGAGCTTACAACTGTACAAGCATAAGCACAAAAGATACATTATCTTTGCATGAACCAGGAAAGCTCCTGTTGAGGTTGGTGTAAGAGATTTAATTGCAAAACTAATTCAAACAGGTCAAGTCCCAAAGAACACTCCCATTTCTGACATTCTTCAACACATAACTTACCCACAAAATACCTAAAACTCAACATTTTTTTGTTAAGAGACTCTGGTTTACTTGGGATCTGGTCAATTAGCCATTGGATCCCATTGAATTTTTACTGCATGTTTTTTGCAAAATGTTAAATTCTGGGTATTTTGATCAACAAAATAGGTCAAATCTGTAGGAAAATCCAAAAAATCTCAGTGAGGTCAAATCCTAACATTTTTCAACACCAGCCTGCCTCATGTAGCAGGTCTAACCCCAATAAGTGTCATAGATATCCTGAATGTACAGAAGTTCTTCTTTCTTTGCATCAAGCTGAGAATATAGCTAGAAGATTGACCAAACCTCTGGAGATTGTCACAATGGAACATGCCTCATCCAGAAAAATATCCAAGAACATAGAAAACTTCATCATTAAGAGCTGGCCTCCCAAGCACTTTCATTTGATAATGATACCAGTGGTTCATAGAAATCATGCAATCAGATGAATTGTTCTGATTACACCTCCATTGTAAGAGGATAGAAAAGGAGTCACAAGACCCAAGTTTGGTACTCACAGCTGCTTGCTCTGAGAATCATCATAAAAGCATGGAGTTTAGACAAGTACATATTCCATAGAAGGAGTTTATTTTACAATTCATAATCTACCATTGATCAAAAGCTCTTGATCTGGGGTAAGGTCTTAATAAATTGTAGGATGTGCAGTCAAAATATTCTCCTTGACATTATGAAATTGTAATGTGCTCAACTGGAAAGAAGCAATGATCAGCCATCATCCAGGTACCATACAGTGAGAGAGAAAGTACTGTTCTGATAAGTCATGAGGTCTATAAGGTTCTATAGGATTGAGAATTGACAGTTTTAAGCTTCAAAATGAAAATGCCCAGACACATACACCAGGAATTGAATTCAAATTGACACATGCTTCAAGTTTGGATTTATTCTTGAAGTGAGATCTGGACTGAATGGCTTTAAAATCTTAGCTTGATGCTGTGACCAATCATGCAGAAGTGATTTGAGAGACCTTAAGCATTCTGTACACTTGATTGTGGGAAAATCTTTTGCTCACAATCTTTCAACTCCACTGCCACATCTGCAAAGTTCTACCTCCAAAACATCATTGAACTGATTATACCAACCTCTATCTAAAGAGAATTTGCTTCTACTTAGCTTTTGAAAACTCTGATCTCTTTAGGAGCTTTTTAGAAGTCAGTCAAAATGTTGAACATGTTGGATGTACTGAAAGATACATTCAAAGAAAATGCAGGGTATATTGAAATAAACAAATTAAAGATCTAGAATGAGAAAGAGAGTCAAGGGGATACAAGAATCAAAAAGAATAGAGTAACAAAGATACTAAGACAGACAAGAAGAATAGGGTATAGATGTCAAGGTAGATATAATGTAAAAAAAGGAGGTCAGAAAAGTAATCTAGATGATCTGATGATCATGTCACTTTTTGACCTTGATCACTTTGACCAAACACTGAAGTAATCTTTTTCTGTGTCTACAAATCAAGACAAACCAAAATTCCACCCCACCCCCCAAATAAATCAGTCAACTTTAAATCAAAAACAAGAATGATAAACCAAAAAAAATTAACTTACATCATGTTCAGAAACTGAAAATTTCCATTCAGCTTGTCGTTTACCTAATCTAACACTCTCAATCACCCATTCAGGTCTCACTACCGGTACACCTGACTTTTTTCTCATTAATTCTTTTTGGGTTTTACTTCCACTTAATTCCATAGAAGTGATCACATGTGTGCATGTTCCAGATTGCATCCTTCTCACTTGTCCTCCAGCTGAGACGATCATGTTGATGAGTTGTTGATTGGTGATCTTGTGACCTGTATACCCATTGATATCTAATATCAAAGAAAACTCGAGTCAGTTTAAAGATACAGTTTTTTTCAAAGATCTTATTAGATCAAGAAAACTTTGACTTACAAGCAATCACATTCTTAAGGACTTTGGTATCGGCACTTTTAGCTTGTTCTTGAAGTTTTTTATTTCTAACTTCTTGCCATTTACTTGAACTAGAAGCCGAAGAACCATTAGATTGTTGATGACCAGTACTCGAACTAACTACATGTTGAGCTCGTTTGTATCCATCATTATGTGTGATGGGATTAGAAGGGTCTTTTAAACTTGAATCGATTTGTCGATTGATCTTTGAAACTGAACTTGAAATGAATCCAACTTCAGGTAATCTTGATGAGATTGAACTTTTCTTTCGATGAACTGGAACAGGTCGTGTATATTGTTTTTTGAATTGATCAATAGGTTTTTTAGTAGAAAGCTCAGTTCCTGGTTTACTTCTGATCACGAATTTGTCCATCTTCTTTCACTTTTGCTTCGTCTGACAATCGGTCGGTGTAAGTTAGAGTTTATGTTTGATGATTTTTCTCAATTGAATAGATGGACCGGCTGGTGAGATTTGACGATCGGATAAAAGAAAGAAATTCTAGACATTCAAGGGTGTGTTTATCCTCAGTTGCGTTTCTTGAGATTGCTTTTGAGATGAGAAGACCTTGAAGATGTGAAAGAAATAAAAGTGGTGTAAGTAGAAGTTATTCAGTCAGCTGAACGCGGCAGCCAAAAGAAGCAACGCGTTTGTAGCCATCAAGGTAGAGCACCGACTCGGGTCGGACTCTATGAGTGGACTTATAAACCGTCACTGTCAACGGTTTTTTGAGTTCTTTGACTGGGTCACTTCTTGTATTGTACTTTGAGATATGCTTCCACTTGAACTTCTGAGGAAATCAATTAAATCATTTTCACTGTGAATCCTTCAAGTTGATTCTCATCAGACAATCCTCCTCTCAATAACATCAATGACTATATATCCTTCACAACCATTTAAGAATCAAACACATGATCATTTAATGATCAATAGTTTTGTATAAATCTTTGAACAGTTTTCCAAGAAATTCACTTTATTTTTACAATCAACATCAGATCCAACACAAAAAAACAAGCTCAATAAAAAAATCATCATCAATTTATACAAACATAAACCGAAAGATTAAATTTAAACCTTTAAAAATCGATTCAACTTTGATGATTTAAAGATTTGGTAAATTCAGTTGGTATACAATAAATCGGATCAATCTTTTCTAATCCATGAAAATTTAAAATCGAAAGTCCAGATAAACCAAAGATTGTATGCCAAAGATCTGGCATATCATTTGGTCTATCTGCAATTCCACCTAAATTTGAATCCTAAAAAGGTTACAATCAAACCAAAAAAAAAACAATCAACACAAACACTCAGGAACAAAACTTACGCTTTTTGGTTTATGTTTAAGAAGATTTTGTGTGAGAAAAAAGAGTTTAACTGAACTTGACATGAAAGAATAAATGATTTTAATTTGTTTCCATCAATCCAATGAGTTTTACCAATAATTTCTAATGAAGCTAATGCCCACCAAGAATAACAAACCTATAAATCAAACCAAACCAAACCAAAAAAAAAAAGAAAACTCCCTTCATAAGGAATCTAATTCATTCTACACATCTTTTTTAAGATCATCCAAAAACTTACATCTTCTAGTTTCTCTGGTCTACCATTCAATCCTCCATTTTCTAATTGTCTTTCACTTAACCACCAACCTAATTTATTCTGATCAATCAAATCCAAGTTTCCTAAAATAGCCAAAGCAGCTACCGAAGTCCAAACTATTTCCCCCCCCCAAAAAAAGAACCAATCAGCAAAACAAAAAACATACACTTGTAGGTAAAAGAAGAATCAAGTTTTTTTTTACCATATGCAGCATGAGATTCAGATCCTTGAATCATACCAAATCCACCATCAAAGTTTTGACAATTGATTAAATAATCGGTTGCACGTGATTGATTTAATTGTTGTAAGGTGCCTAAGAGAGATAAACCTGAGATAGCACAGTATGAAAACCTTGTATCGGTTTCGTTCCATTGATCACCTGAAAATGAACCTGTTTGATCATTAAATCTTGCTAAGATATCTACATACAAAAACCAAAACAAAAAAAATCAAATTAATGAAGAGATTAGTCTGATTTGTTTAAAGGGTTTTTTTGGGGGGATTTGATTCGAAGTCGATCAAAGACTTACAATTTGTGATTTTCTGTTTATCTACTTTATCTAGCGAGTTTTGCATCACTAAGATTTGAATAGCACTTAAAGTAGAATGAAGATGAGGATCATGAAATGGATGAGGTGAAAAACCACCTTTACAAAACCCCCCAAAAACCCCCCAAAAAACCAAAAAAATAATCAGAATTTTCAAATCAACGATAAACGAATGAGAGTTTACCTTCAATTGGATCCCAACACTTTAAAACCCATTGAATCATTTCATCTTTTGATAAAGTATTAGGTTTTTTTAAAAGTTGTATGGATACTAAAGCCCAATAAATTCCATTCAATCTTAAATGTTCTGTTAAATGATAACTTAATGAATCTTCTTTCTATGAAGAAAAAACCCATCCCATCATCATCACTTTAGTTTGTGTTTCGGTTTTTTTTTGGTTTGATTTGAGTTTGATTGAGGTTTCTTACTTTATCTAATGATTGTATAAAGTTGATGTGTTTTTCGATTAGTAGGGTTGATGTGTCTGGTTCTTCGGTTGAGTTCATTCTTTGGATTCGTGGTGTTTCGATTTCGATGGAAAGCTGAGTTGATTTGATATTCCTGATCGAGATGTTAATGTTGTGTTGAATGGATGATCGGAAGAAGTCATGGCCAGCCTAGTGACTTCACTTAACCGAAACTCGGGGAACACGCGGCCTTCGGGAGAATCCTGGCAGTAGTGCCAGTGCCAGGCAGTACTACGTTTCCCCAATATTTCACTGTCGCATGACAGGCCTCCACCATAATGTCACAAGGCCATCCATTGCCTTACATGCACGGTGACACGCCACGCTATCTTTCACTTGATGTTGAAATCCCGAGTAACCATTGGGCAGAGTAGACCTTCTCCAACCAGTTCCACTGGTCTTACTCAATCCACTTCCCACCACACGCTACGATGGATACGCGCTTCATCAAACGCGATTTCAAGCGTTTACCTGCCACCACTCCGCTTCCTCAACCCACTACCGACGGTCTCGTAGGCATAGCATGCCCCAGTTGTGACGCCGGGCAGAAGACTACGCCATTAAAGTATATCAACAGACTACCTAATGCTTGGAGGGTCGCGGCAAGTTGATCATCTGATCTCTCAGTCTCCGTCTGATTATCCACATCTCTCATTTTCAATATAACCTTCACTGATTCTCAATATATCTTTAATGTGTGTCATATATCACAGTGTGGCATAAAGCCCCACATGGAACAAGTGGTCACTTTTATCACACATGGAGTGATGATCAATTAAATTTTGAAATTGCGTCAATCAACGCTGGCCACTGGCCAGCTGCCCTTTTTCCACGCCCACCCTCTGCAAACTCCAATCGCCCCACATCGCCTGCACTTCCTCACCCGGTCACACCTAGCCAAAGCCTATTGAATAGGCTCTTCAACACGACAGACTCCACATCATCTAGCGGCACCTCAGCTGACCCTTCAATTACGTGTTTTGGCGTGAAAGGAAAGACCGGGCCCACCCATCAAATCGCAGACGCACGCAGAGGCAACAAGAACTGTGTCTTCAAAGCATGCGCCTCCGTGAGCATCTCAGACCATTCATTTTACTGCTGTTGAACCCCCCAGCTTACGTTTCCTGCTTTTAGTGCTGTCAAAATGTGGGTGACCAAGTCTGTGGGGCAAAGGGACATCGGAAACCTCTTGGTCTTGGCAACCATGGTGCCTCTCACCCTTTCTTAAACCGTGGCATCGTAACCAGTACCAACAATTTCAATCCTTTTCACCAAAGACCACCACCTTCAGCCTCTCACATCCATCACCAAGATCAGCACAATTGCGAGACTGCCTCGGGCTCAGCCCCCCCTGAAATTCCTGTCCATCGACGCATCCCCACTCAAAGCGCGCAAGCCGGAGGCCTCGTTGCCCATGAGTTCAACAGTGAACAACTGGCCGCCTTTTTTGACCTTCAATCGGCCAGAGAACAAACATTGTTGCAAATGAAATCTTTTGACGCCGACGAGAGCAAAGTTGTTCATGTCACTGCATGGCTGCAGGTGATTATTTCCTCTGTTTGGTTGCCAATTCTTTGTACTGAATCCCCCTTTGATATGTCCAGGCGGAACAACCCCCCTTATTTTTCAGCTTTATTGCGCCGAAGTGGCCCTCATTTTCTCTACAGCAATGCCAGCCCCTTGTGAGCGAGGCTGCACTCAAAGCAAGCCTTTCAGACGGTCCGGTTTGGAGTAGGAGGCTCCAATTCTGGGACCCAAAATCGGAGGGCTGGGTGGGTTTTTTTGCGCTCGACATGGATTTTCCGCACTGACACTGTCATTCATCAGCAGCGCACGGGTTCTATCAACATCCCCTCTCGACTACCAATTGCACCTCGCGAGATATTTGTTAAAGCCAACACATTCAAGCCTGAAGAATGTCCCCGCCTTGACCAGCTCATTTATGCCGCATACTATAGTGACACCCCAGCATTCCCATGGCACTGTCTGCCTCAACTTCTTCCCTCGCAGCTCCCACCTACTCTCAAAGTGATTCAAGTTCTACCCAACCTCCAGACAATTTGGACCCCAGCGTGGGGAATCCTAGCGCCGTTGATGGCAAAATCACCATCGTGCCGTCTACCCGCTCTCAAAACATTTTGGACACGTTTGGTAACCATAGCAACCATGGAGGCAAAATCATTATAATTGGCAAAGGGGTTGACTTGATTCCCAACCCCAAACCAGTGAGTACTTTGGTCACAATATATATGATGAACTGCCATCTGATCACAACTTTCCAGAATGATAAGCTACCCAACAGCTCAAGTGCCAACAATCGACAACACTGGCCCGACTTATCCTCCCCAATTGGTGAGCTCCTCAATTGGAGCAAGTTGACTCAATCAATGAGTGTGCTATCTGTGTGGGACCTTTGATATGGCGACCGCTACATCAAGAAAGAGCGAACTATCTATCGGCATTCCAAGTGGATTGGCATTGTCACCAAAAGAAAAGCAAAAGACTGGGAATCGTGGCTTCAAGAGCAGACAATGCCATTGGTGGCAGTCACATTAGGAGCAGCTCGTACACGCTTTCGTCAAGAGTTTATACTTGCAGGCTGTCCTCCAAGCACTTCTTCCTCTTCCTCTACTCCGGCCTCTACTTCCTCTGCCGCACCTGTAGCAGGCTGCAAACGAAAATTGGGTGAATGAATGCCCATATCCGTCTTATTCCTATCTGTACCTGGAACTGACAAAAACATGTTGTCTCCTGTGTTTGATTTCCTTCCACAAACAAAGTCTACTACTATCTGTATCTGGAAGTGACTATACCAATCTGTGACCATATTGTGATTGTGACCTCCATAACGTAAGGTCACAAGGTCATGTTAACTTAACCTCACATACCAACCTAAAATTGTAAAGTCTTTTCTTTCCTAGCTGGCGCCAAAACAATACTCCATTGATGCAGTTAAGTGGCACTCCTTGAATGCTTGTAAAACTGGGCTCGGTTCCTTGTATCTTTCCCCCTGGATAACTCTTACAGGATTGCAGGGGCTCGGCTCGCTAAGGAGTATAGCACGTCTATCTCAAATGTCAAAGTCGACACCCTCAATCTTGACCTAAAATCACTCACCCAAAAATTCAATAACCACTAGGTCTTTCCACTCCACTCCTAGTTACTTTGAAAGCATAGCTGGTTAGGTTAGGTTGGTCCCAGAAATGAGGATGTAGTGCTACAACCGAACAACTAACCTCGGAATGCTGAGTAAGTGCAGATTTAGTGAAATGAGAATTTAAATCCTAGCACCGACTGACCATCCAAGGCATGTAGCCATAGCCAATACTGTCAATACCTCTAACCGACCTGAGAATGGGGACAGCCTTACCCTTGCACACTCACTACACCATTGACTCTAGTTGGTAGGTCCGGGGGAATCCAAATGCATATATGGAAGTGGTTCTTGCATTCACTCCGTTCATCAGTTCCTTCATCAAATCTTTTCTTTGATTATCTCATTCCACCAACAAACATCGCACCTCCACTGCCTTGTCTGTAAGCTCCTGATACATTTAGGACACTGTGTTTTTTTTTGTGCTTACACTTTTGTTCCCCATTTTTGTAGCACCCTCATGGAACATCCATCCAAACATCTCTACAACCCTGACAGCAACAGTGCTGAATCAACCAACACAACTGTGAATGAGTTATCATCTGACGTGAATTTCGTGTCTGACAAAGAGGAGTCTACCAGTAGTGGTGATAGCGGGATTGATAATGTGATTGATCCTCATGTCGAGGAACATGACACCTCACCGGTGACCTTGCATAGCATATGTGGAATGGGTATGTTATTTGTCTTTTGGGGAGTTTTGTTGACCAGGTGTTCATTGTATGTTCCTATCAGCAAACATACTGCTGGCCCTCCCAGACAATGTAGATTTGCGACAATTTGGCCAGGAAACCATTGCGGTCACGCACAACTTAGTTTCAATTATTGTTCCCAACCCCAACGTCACCATCTTTGGGATTCGCTGCGTTTCCATTGGTGATGTGACCACTTGGTGGTTTCACGGGCGACCCGCCCAGATCACTGTCACCAACCAACTGGTAAATTCGTGGGATTTTTGTGCCACATTCAAAGCCACACTTACCCGTGGAGAACACAGCATTGAAATGGGGGTTCGTGCCTTCCATGGACATGATCGACCCCTGTCCACGTATCTTGGAATCGCCCAGACTAACCTTCACGTCTCTGTGCAACTCAACCTCTTCCGGAACAATCTTTGGGATCAAATGACCATGGTTAACACCACAGACACCGAGTGGGAAACTATGCAGGCTTTGAGGGTGAGGTGGTGAGGTTCCTTATTATCATTTTTTAACCAATCGGCATTTAGTAATCCAATGGCTTTCCTTGGTCCAGTTTCAAGAGAATGTTGTAGGCCTGATGCACGAGGGAGCTCGCGTCCATCCAGCTCACTCCGAACTAAACACATTCACTGCCGAAGAGCTGGTAGAAGGCGCTCGGGAGCAGTTCAGCAAGGACGACACATTTGAGCTCATTCCAATTCCTGATATTCATCACCCTCTATCTCGCCCAGTACAGGCATTGCTCTCAGCTTTCTCACACTGGTCTTACGAGCGCAGCGGGCGTACCAGCATTATTGGCGGGTTTCAGGGTGTAGGCCCACTCATCACCGAGGCCGTTGTACACAATGTCAAGTTAGTATTTACTTTTTTGTGCTGCCAAAAACGCCACTGACCAAGTGGCATGTTTTTTAGTGTGCCGTGGACCATTGGGAATTTTGGTAGTTCTGCTATCAAGCGCTTTCCACACGAGCACTTTTGTGGAAAGTTCTGTAGGGTCCTAGGTGATTTGCCTGCTTTGCCAAGGCACGAGTGATGTCATTGCTAGACACTTGTATCCATTTCCGGGTTGACACCATTAATTGTACCCACCTTTCAATAAGTAGAACTATAAGATACTTAACTTAATCATTTTAATTTACCTTGCCTATCATGCCATCCAAGAAATGAGAATTTGTAATGTAAAGCTTCACCATGTTGACTCTTTGTCCTCATCATTGTTCGATAAGATACAATGAGCTTCATCACAGTCATCACAGTCTCAAAAACATTATTCAAGTTACCGTTTGTAAATCTTCTATCAGTAAGTAGTTGCATTTTGACAGATACACCTGTAGATAATTTTTTGAAAACAGGATACGTATTATTTAAAGATAACTCCTTGTTTATCTTTCTTGTCTACAAATCATAATGGGGGGACGTCTTGTGTAACCAATGAAATAGAAAATAGAGATGGTTTTCTAAATCATTGTATCTTAATTTTTTTGTACGTCTTGGTTTCAAAAACAATCATTATAGAGGCATGTTCTTCTCAGAAGTCTTTGACATAGGCAACCAGGGTAGAAGAAGCAGCCGACTTTATATCATTTATCACATAGTAATCATGGTCTAATCCAACATCATTTCAAACAGTGGCAGACAAAATGCAACTCGGTGAAAGGTGAAAAAACAATGGTGTATGAACTTTGAGCATGATTGTGCATGTCATTGATTATAGTGTAAGGTCACCTAGAAAGGAGATGTTTGACCTTTTGGACAGCCTTTGTATCAACCATTCATTCCTCCTCTCAATCATGTCCTCCATCATAAAGTTGAAGCGGATGGCAGACATGCTTTGTGCAAGCAATGCAAAACCGCCATACCAGATGTTGGTCATCTCAGCTGCTGAAGAATTAAAAACCCAATTACCATCCTTTTGTAGTTCAGGAAAGCGCTTGGGGTCGGTATAATGCTGGCAGAAGTCGTCGCTGGCTTTGTGTCCTCGGAAGTGGAAGGGGTCGACTGGGAAAACCAATTTCATGAAGGGTTTGTAGTCTTCTTCTTTGTGTCTGTGGTAAATGTGGTCGACAAGCTTACAGGCATTATCATAAAAACAGACCTGTGTAATTTGTTTTGGAAAGGTCCTCAGGATAAAATCCTGAGGGAAAGATGAAAGCACGTCAGCAAAGGGAAGTTTGATTGATAGATTAAAAGCAACTTACACGCACCGCGCTCACGCTTTCTGAGTGAAAGAATGTCTCGTGTTCCAGGATGATTCCACACGTACTCACGATGAGCTGGTCATTGTGAGTGCGGCTGCAAGAGAGGCACACCCAATCCGCTTTCTTACCATCTCCACCTTCGCAACCGCCTCATGAACACGATCGGCCTCGTCGCCTTCTTGGACGTCTTCCAGGCCTACCAGCTCGGCGGTGTTCCAGTCTTGGTGCACCGTAGGGTCGGAAGGGCGATTTGAACCTGGCCTGTGAAGAATCGAAGTGAGGGCAAAGTTGCCAGTGACTCGCGCTTTGAATTTAGAATACGACTCCACGTGCTCTTTGCAGGTTTTCGTGCCTTCAAGTGCGTCTGCGGTGCATGGCTGAGCTTGACAATGTCGACCAAGGTGTTTTTCGTGAAATCCGCAAAAGCGGTCGTGAACACCTGTCAAAGAGGTTGTGCATGGTCCTTTGGGCGGGGGCAAGCCATCGGTTGCTGCGAGCTCACGCAGTTGTTGAGAGGTAGCAGTGCATCGCGAGTGGCCGATGGTAATGCCATTGGTGACTACTGCACGGATGTCTACAACATAAACAAGTCAGCACAAAGGTGAAAGTTTGGAGTGACGTTGAGGGGGCGAGCGAGCTACGAACAGGCCAGTTTGGCTTGCTCGCCAGCAAGAGGTACTATTTGGACACAACCAGAGCACGCATGGTTGTGGTGCTTGGTTCCTTCCAGAGCAATCCATTCCAGCACCTTCTTCATTGCATCTTCATAACGTTTTTCTGGCTGAATATAGGTGTCCACGGTTACACGCCCGTATGCAGAGTCTGCTTTGTTGAGTAGGACATGGAGCTCTGAGCCATCTTGGCAAGTGATTTCGGACATCGCCGGAAGGACGGTTGGTGCCGCATGGAGCGCTGGGAGTGTCACATCGTTGATGTGGACGGAGTTGAATAAGTTTACAAGGTTGAAATTGGAAACACTTTTTGGGACGGTGAAGAGAGAAATAAATTAGTCTATTTATTGTAATGAGACCAAAAAAGCGAAAGCACTCACTGAGCGACCATCAACCCTTGACAAAAAAAGTTGGCCAGCCGGTGTGTCATGAAAAAATGACAACTAACCTGAAAGACATCTGGGTTGTGTCCGTCCAGGGCCAAGTAATAAGTGCAAAACTTGTTGTTGGAGTAGTAACTGGGACGGTAATAAGTCGGACAATCTGGTTTGAAGAAGAATCAATTAGAAGACAAGTTTGGTGTTGGTTAAGGCGCTACTTTAGGCTACTGATCAGGACATTTCAGTGTAACAATTCCCACAGTGTGCACACCATCTAGGTCGTACAGATAGCCATCTAGGCAACAACGGTGATGTAACTTGGGGCGTTTTTTGCAGAGCAGACAGTTTTTGACAGGAGATACAAGGGTTGTTTCTGGTATGTGGACTGGATGATGCTCCGGAAGGTGTCCATATTGTTGAATTACAAGTGCTGGTTGAACTCGGTATTGGTGTATTGTGGGCGCAATTGTGTGCCAGAGGTCGTAACAGATGTGTTTCAGAAGAGCTATATTCAGCACTTTGCGCAGGAAAGGGACCACTGAATTGCCATTGCTCCGAGAAATCCATGTGCCGTTGGTCCGAGCAATGATTTCGGCCGCCAGAGCAGTAAAATGGATGAAGTCACGAAGGGTGATGGTCAAATGAAGCTCAGGGTAGTCTGTGGCGAGTTGGTTGATGAAGTCAATGAGAAGCATTTTGTGTGATGAAGGTGCGACGCTGTGTGGATAGAAGGAACCTTCGCGACACCAGATGAAGGAAGTACCCTTTGTCTGGTTTCACGGAGTGTGTAGTGAGTATGTCAGGCGAGTGGACATCATACGAGGTTCAACGCGGGAAAGGGTTCAGAAGCCATATTTTCATGGGCTTTGAGCGACTGGCAGTGCCAGTGCCAGTGCCAGTGGGCGGCTGCCAGCGCTCTCCCGAAGGCCGCTACCTCCGGAAACTCGGTTTACCACTCGGGCTCGGTGACTCGGTACATACTCCTTCTTCAATTTTGTTCATCACCAAATCTATCTCAAAGCTTCCGTCTTCACTCCAACTTCTTTGGAATCCATGTGTAAACCAAACTCAAAAATCCAAAACCTCAAATGTAATCCATTTGATTTGATTTGAGAAAGAATAAGAATTTTTTGATTTCAATTGAAGTTCAACAACAAAAAAAAATAAGAAAAAAAATTGATTTGAAAACTAAAGTTGAGTTGAACAAAAGAACGAGTAAAGCAAAAAGAAACACACTGAATCAAAACTTTGAAATTCAAATTCAAATTCAAATTCAAAATTCTAGAAATCCAAAAAAAAATCCAAAGAAAGAAAGACCAAACCAAACCAAAAAACATAAAGAAAGAAAAGATAAGAAAAAAGAAACCTATATGTATATCTATTTAAAGTATTGATTGATTGATTGATTGATTAATACCCAAAACTCCAAATATTTTCATTTCTCATTCCCATTCAAATTACCAACCCCATCAAACCTCCCACCCGAATCCGTTACAACCAAACAAAAACAACCTCTAATCCCATCAACTCCTTCAACCTGAATCATCAATTCCTTCAATCCATTAATCTCCTTAAACATCACTTTCCTAACTCTTTCCTTCATCAACTCAAATCCTTCATATCTTATTCTTTCATTCCCATCAATCGTAGATGGGATCGGTAATAATTGTAAATGGATCGATCCAATAATCGTTTCAGATGAATCTAATGGCCAAAACCTTGGTGCAGCATATGAACTTAACCCTTCAATAGTTCTCAACTAACAAAAAAATCATTCATCAGTTTTTTTCTTTTCGATTTTTTCACTTTTTTAAATTCAAACAAACCTTCGTTAACGCTCTTCTCACTTCCATTTCTTTTTCTTTCGATAATTGAAGTACTAATACTTTTCCACATTCTTCTACTAATGGAATCACCGATCCAAAGATTAAAACTGCAATGAAGATCGAAGCTAATGGATCGAATCCAGTCCATCCATATCTTTCAATCAATAAGGTCGAAATGATCACTCCTAATGATCCTAATGTATCGGCCATCACATGTAAAAAAACTCCTTTCATATTATGAGAGTGACCTGATTGAAAGGGTGATCATTAGTATTATACTCGTGATTTCAAGTAAGCTTGAAATCATCTTACCATGACTATGTCCATGATCGTGTCCATGATCGTGTCCATGATCGTGATCGTGATCGTGGTGTGAGTGAGCATCGTGTTTATGATGATCGTGTTCAGTATGACCAACACTCGTTTCACTATGAGCATGTGAATGAGCATCTGAATGATGATGGTGATGGTGATCGGGACTATGATGATCAGAAGTATCCGAATGAACAGTAGAGGTGGCTGCAGGAGGGGTTTGATCGCGTTGAGGAACCGGATGATGATGATGATCGGGTGAAGAAGGTTTAGAGTGTGAATGTGAGTGACTCGAACAATCGTGAGTATGACCATGACCATGATCGTGAGCATGATCATGATCGTGTTTGTGATCATGGTCGTGTTTGTGATCGTGGTCATGTTTATGATCGTGATCGTGGTCATGTTTATGATCGTGTTTATGATCGTGTTTATGATCGTGAATGTGATCGTGTTTGTGAGCATGGTCATGCGTGGGAGCGTGAGAATGACTATGACAACCACCACCACCACCATGATGATGATGATGATGACCCGTAGCAAACATCCCCACAAGGTTAACCAAGAATCCAAGTGTGCTAACCACCAATAATTGATTAGTGTTCATCTCTGGTGGATGTAATAACCGTTGAATGGCTTCAAAGATGATAAACAATGAGATCAAGATCAAAAACACTGCGTTTGCGAATCCTGATAAAGTTTCGACCCTTCCGTATCTATTGATCAGATTTCAATGGAGGTCAGTATCAATCCGAAAGATACTTTAGAATAGATAAAGACTAAAGTACCCGTATGGAAATTGTTCATCTGCTGGCCAAGTTGACATGACAGATGCGAAAAGACCCATACCAATAGCCATACAATCGAAAAACATATGAATAGCTAAAAAAGATCCGAGTCTCATTCAGTTCTGATGCCAATTCGAAAGTGTATACTAAGATCCATAAATCATAAACTTACAATCACTAATCAATCCTAAACTGTTAGTCCATACCCCATACCTAAAAAATTCAATCAACTCAAACCAAAGTCAGAAACTAAACTAATCCATTCAAAAATATCATTTTTGAAGATTTTTTGTATTGAAGATTTTTTGTTTTTGATAACTCACAACATCTGAATCAACATAAATCCAAGATTCAAACATAAAAAGAAATAAATCTTTCGACTCTCAGGTTTTTCCAAAATCTTCTTCATAATCAATTTAACCTTTTTAGAAAACCCCAAGAACTGATCAACTTGAGAACTAGGTTGATGATGATGATGATGAATTGTAGTAGTCGAACTAGCATATAAATTAATTTGTTGATTCGAATTTGAGAAACCTAAAGAAAAAGAAAATACCCCACCCAAATCGAAAATGAACATCAGAAATCGATCAAGAACGAATAGATTGTAAAAAGTGATCATTTACCAATGTACGAAACTATCCCGATTAAGAAATCAATCCAATTTCCAATTCCAGAACCAAAAGCACAAGATCCAACTAATAAACAACCAGCGGTACTGATGATAGTGGATCCTAAGACTCCAATTCTTGATTCCCCTTCTGATGTGAAAAGAGGTTGGATCACGTCTTTGGCCAGAGCAAAGATCAACGCAAATGGTAAGATAGTTGACCAAGGAATCGACGTGTCAGGCATCTAAAATTGTAAGAAGGACGTATCAAGTATTTCGTGATGAGAAGAGATCTTAGTTAGAAGACAGATTATCGAATCTTTCTAGGATTTTTGGTTTAGAGAGGATCTGCATGACTGACGAAAAGATAAGCCAAGCATGCGATCGGAAGTGCAATAACAGCAGAAATCATAAAAGCTGATCTTTTGATCCGGCTGTTTTGTTGATTGCTTGTAGCATCACCACAAATCGAATGTTGAACACCTTGAGCAATCAAAAAAAGCACCAAGGCAAGATAGCCAGAAACTAAACGACTTGATTCTATTGGAAATTAGGATTTGTCAGTCAAATTTCAGATATCATTAATTGAAAGTTGAGAGAAATGAAAGACTTACCATATAGATTTTGATTGGAATTGAGATGAAGATCGATCCCTAAACAAGCACTGATGGTAAATAAGGTAATGAGACCAGGGGTAGCCTATAACTCACCAAAAAAAGACAAGAAGAGAGATGAGAATCGAGTTTGGTATGGTTTTGTTTGTAAATCAAATCAAGTCAGACTTACAGGGTTTGATAGATTGTTTGACGGAAAAGAAAAGACTGAAGTAGGATCAGTGAAAAGTTGATCTAAGAGAGTAGAAATTGATTGAGATGAATAGAATGAAGAAGCGGTTAAGATGATGATCCTGTTGAAAAGAAATAGATTCAATCAGTTAAAGAATGTGAGATTTGAATAAGATTTGAATGAATGACTACTAACCTTAGAACTGAAAGTTGAGATAATGCATAGAAGAGAGATAATTGTTCAGTCACAATCCAAATTGCAACCCAAAGAGACTGAATGAATGTGTGTTGTGGTTGTGGTTGTGGTTGTTGTTGTTGAATGTTTTGAGAAGGAGTTTGAGGACCAAAGAGACGTTTTCCCAATTTCAAATCGTTGTTGTTTGTTAATGGTTTTTGAATCAAGAATTGAGATGAGATTAAATTTAAGATTGGAGTTGAAAATAAAATCAAACTAGATTGTAAACCGATCAAAGAGAATGGATGATTAGAATGATCTAGATTTGATTTAATCCAATAGATTGATAAAGATTGAATTGAAGTTGAAATGAATTGTCTAAAGAGTTGATCGATTTGAAGACTTGATGATGATGATGGATTGCTGATGGTTAGATGATGTTTGATTTGATGAGATTGAGGTGAATCATCAGGAGAGAAGATATCATTTTGAGAATGTTGTAGATTAGTTAGTTTAACTCTACCACGAGTTCTAGCATCAGTTTGAGGATAAGCATGTGCATAAGCAGAAGTAGCTGAAGTTAAGATTGAAGCTGAACGTGAATGAGAAGTTAAGTTTGATTTGATTTTAGTAAAAGTGTTGGTAGGTGAAACTGAAGCTGAAGCTGAAGTCCCTGATGAACTTGACATTGGATTGGTTTGATGTTTGATGGTAGTGGTAGTGGTGATGGTGATGGTGGTGCCAGTGCCAGTGCTAGTGCTAGTGTTGGTTCTTATTGTGAGTATAATTTGAAATCAAATAACCGAAGTGGTACTCTTAACTCAACTCAACTACTTTTGATTTTAAAAGCTTCAAATTTGAATTTCAATTTCAATTCAATACCAACCTGAAGTTCTGAACCATGAACGAACCCATCCTTGTTTTGCTGCGTGATCAGTTCACAAAAAATCACAAACTTGTCTTGGATTCACAAATACCAGAATCAGTACAAGCATCAAGACTCACAATGGTTTGAGTTCCAATCTTCGGGATTCTCCCGTCGATTTGCATGCATAGGTGAAAGGCATCTATTCGTAGACCAAGACTGTTGGAAAGAAAATATCCCACTTCTTACAAATCATCAAAGATCCGATCAAAAAAATCCTGGAAGAGTTCAACCATAGAATTCATCTGAGGAATCGTTTGACCCTCTGGTCATCCATCTTGTTGAGTGCAGTGTGGTCTTGATTAGGAAATCTCAAGTTTCCTGAAGATCCTGAGAATCGGGGAAAATCTTGCCGCAATCATGGAGTGAGATCTGATTTTTTAAAAAAGATTTCTTTTATAAAAGTCAAATTAAAGTTCTCTTAGCCATTCATCATGATTCAAGATTTATAGTATTTTTCGCAAAATTGATCTCTATTCACCAGGATTAATTTGAGGAAAGCTCAGGTTTTGAACGGAACAGGACAGGAGCCTTTTCTCAGTTGATTACAAGTCATCTATTAAATTTAGGCAAGATAAGTGATAGCTTAAAGTGAGAGGCAATGTATGATTATGTATGTGTTCCATAACCACTCACATTGGCAACTTGAAATCCCAAAAAGATCCAACCTCTCAAACTTTCTTGAGTAAATTTTGCCAAATATTTGCCAAAACCCCACAGGGCAGTAGTGGCTTTTGGAATTACAAGTTCAGCCTACTGCAGTGGCCACAGAAGACATGTGCGATGTTGTGATGTGACCATTATAGTAAAAGGAAGGTTTTGATCAATAGAAGAGATTATCTTCAAACACAAAGTGATCAAGTTGATCAGATGTGCCAAAACTCCTCAAAAAAGCTCCTGATTATTCAACTTGACCTAACAAAACCAGTGTTGACTCTCAACCGGATACTTTCCTTGCAAAGTAATCTTGTCCAATCTTAAGCTTCTTCTTATTTACAGATGAATCCAAATTAAAATCTTAATAAATTCAAGTAGACTTTCGTTCTTCAAGACGTGATTTGAATTCTATTGCTTCTCTTCTAGTTTTCATCATCAACCGACGACAAATCCAAACTCCAATAACCATCAAAAGTGGAAACCAAGTGGTCAAAGCCTCTAATCTGTTCTTCCGAATCATACCTTCTAAAAGTCCTCCAAGACAAATCAAGATTATTGATATTGTAAACCAATATTTGTTTGATTGATGAAAGAGAATGGTAATTTTTCGTAATGTGACGTGCGATTTTCTAAGATGTAATTCTGTATAATCTCCAAGAGTCGTTGCTGAACAGATTGCCAGTCCTGTGACTACTAAGATCCGTGATATTCTTCGTGATGGATAATCGAGCCATCCTAAGTATCTAACCAACCTCGAGGGAATCAGTTGAGCCAACGATGGTGACGAGAAAAACGGGAACCTGATTTCAGTCTCGCAAATATCAAGCGACGAAAGCCTTTGGACACACACGCAATCATAGTGATCACAAGAAGACCGAGTATGATCTCTTGTGACTGCTTATCTTGTTTAGCACTAGCTTCCTGGAGTCTTTCTAGAAGATCGAGCTGGGCTTGAGTGTTATTAGTTTATTGAACTTGGATGTAGCTAAAAAGAAGTGATACAAAATGACCACACTTACCATTTCTGTCCATCATGCCTTCCTCTGACTCTGGATTATAATGCAGCTGGTCTTTGCGAGGCGTCATTGATGCCGATTGAATGATGAAAAGCAAAATAGAGTAAAGTGCAACGAGAGTGAGAAGCAGTGAGACCAATCAGATTGAGAGATTGCACGGCCGATATGTCGTGCCCCGAGTCCCGACTGTCCAGATCGAGGCTATCTATACTTCCACCACAATGTTACCCATTGGCCGAAATGCCACAATGTTGTCTATCAATTTTTGTTGCTTTCTCTCAATTTGCAACTCTCTGATCTTGATGTTTCTTCTTGGCTTGATTTGTTTACTCGGGATTTAGAGTAGTTCATCTCATTGATCAAGCATGGTCCTGATCCAACTCAGGTTCAGGATGGTATCTGTGGCTATAATCAAGCTATCCACAAGTATTGTGCTGTTATCATGATCCCATCACGACTCTGGGTTTTCTAGCTTTTTCTAGATCATAGTCGAAAGCATTTTGAAGTAACTTCAGGCCACTCGTAGCTCAAGCTTCCTCATCGACTTTTTTCCAAAAAGTCTCAGTCTCGTTGCAAATTCCACAATACCAAGATCAATCCATGTGTGAGTTTGAAAGTCAAATTTAAATATTGATGATAGAAACACGTCCTCGACTAGTCTAATGTTCTTTGATCAGTTAACAAGATTGGTTTTGGAACACATACACACACCAGCACGACCACATAGTATGTATAGGAAACGGCTTCTGGAAACAAAAAGAGAGAAAAGAACACTAGCCGCCTCTTTGATGTTGAACGCAGGTAGAGATGACTCCCGGTTGCCTTTGAATAGTCAAGAACCGATGGCCTACAATGGAGGATCGTATCGATGATATGAACAGATGGCGAGCCAGGAGCTCGATGGATGGATGGAAAGAGAGAAGCAAGTGCACATCGATTCCATCAGTCCGAGCTAGCTAGAGCTTCGAACCACGCTTCAGACTCAAACACATCGTCACTGGACAGTTGTGCGAGTCTAGAAGGGCAATTCAATGGCGTCGTCGCGCCCTTTAGGCAGTTTGCCGCTAGACCGACGGACACTAGATGATTGTTTCCCAAGTTTATCGAAGGATTGCGTGTTCTCAAAAGTCAGTGATTGAACTGCTCAGCTGGCTCCGCGAGTCGTCGTCTTGCCCAATGTCCTTGTAGCCCATTCCTGGGGTCAAGTAATCCAAGCCGGTGCGATCAGCGCGGCCTCTACCTGTCAACAACCGATCAGCCTGTGAGTATGCGCCCATGATCGAGCTCCCATCGTCCCCGCCCCTCACGCTACCCGAATCCATGGACTGAAAATCGGTGGAAACCATTGAGGGCGCATATCTGCTACCGCCCGCCACTGGACCACCCATCCGCTTGTTCCCATTGGTATACGCTGAGCGCGCAGCTGGAATGCTGAAAGGCGGCAATCCGGAGGCGTAGGTCGCTTGCGAACGAACAGATTGGGCATCAGACGGGATTGAGAACGAGTCGTGTGTTTTGTAGAATGACTGATCAAATCGTGTTGGCGTGTTGGTCCGTACTGTAGAGGCCACACAGTGTCAGGGGTTCTCATGTAGCAACTATATATACCAGGCAGGCATGGGTCAAGATGCTTACCGGTGGGAGGCACGATCGGACCACTCAAAGCCTCGCGAGCACTAGTTTCAAAACGATTTGAATGCTCGTTCAGGTTAAAAGGTTTCCTCGGCTTCGAGAATTGAACCAGACTTGGCTGAAGGTTATTCAAAGGACCCTCTACTAGACATCCTTTCTCTTTATAATGAGTCAAGAGATGATGCCATAGAGCGTGCTGGATTGACGAAAATATCGTAAGAGGATATTCTATTTACTGAAATCTTTGAAAGAACGTACTTTGCTCAAGACTTTTGGGTTTCCGAGTACCACCACCCCGTACTTGGCCCGTGTCAATGCAACATTCAAACGACGAGGATCATTCAAGAAACCGATACCTTGGTGATCATTACTTCGAACGCAGCTGACAATGATGTAATCTTTCTCTCTCCCTTGAAAGGCATCTACACTAGCAACCTCAACGTCTTTGTACAAGTCACGTTTCATGGACCCATTGGACTGCATATAATTCACCACATATGATCTTTGACCTTCGTAGGGTGTCACGATTCCAATCTGACCAGGTAAGACGCCTGCCTTGAAGAACCGAGTGACGATTTTCTCGACGTTTGAAGCCTCAGTGCGATTGAGGAACGAGGTCCCAGAAGAGGAGATTTCTTCCTGGCCCAAGTTTGAGTGGAAATACATCGGCGTTGTCGGTTGAGGCCAAGGGAAGTCGACATTTTTCTTGAGTCGTTCCGGGGCCGTGACTCCATTCTGTAGAGAGCCTTCATAGAACATATTCGATGGAAATTCGGACATGCACGGATGCATTCGATATTGAACTTGTAATCTGATGGGCCGGTTGCCTAACAATACCAATCGCTCGAACATCGATTGGGTCAATCCAGCCCGCGCTGCTTTCTTGTTCATTATCGTAGGTCCAAGCTGCTGATGATCGCCCACCATCACGACTTGCTTTACGCCTAGGGTTAACGGAATCATACATTCAGGTTCGGTCTATATACGCAAGGGATAAAGTTAGCATCTACGCCTCATAGTGAAATAGTTGAAATCAAAGTCAACTTACAGCCTGCGTAGCTTCATCAATCAACACAGTTCTAAATTTCATTTTGGCCAGCCGAGGATCACCAGCACCGACGCAAGTACACAAGATCACGTCTGCGTTAGCCAATATTTCGCGCTCGCATAAGCGAGTTAAGGATTTGTATCTTCGTTCGTCAGTGCTGCTCAATTCACCCTGCTCGCTCTTGAGTTGAATCAATTTCTGCAGGTCCGGGTGAGTGTCGTTGTTGGCGACTTGCAGATGTAGCGTCAGGTACTGCACTGAACTATCCAAGGCTTCGCGCGATTTAGCTTGCACCCTGACCACTTTGAGACCTGTCATGTGAATTTTCTCGGAGAGCTGATCCACAGCAACATTCGAGGGCGCACACACAAGAACTTGACCTGGGTTCATCTTACTGAGATGATACACAATTGAAGCCGAGGTGACCGTCTTACCGGTCCCTGGAGGACCTTGAATCAAGCTCAAAGGTTTTTGCAATACACTCTTGACTGCGTTGACCTGGGAGTGATTCAATTCCGGAAGATTCGGGGCCGAGACTCTGATGGGAAAATACAAAATGTGGTTCAGCCTGGGTATTCGAAGAGAAGTTCACGGGAAAGATGCGTGCCACATCAAGATGAGGTGGTTTACCTCTTGGGCATTTGCGTTCTGAGGACTTGTGGGATTTGTGCATCATGTCCCATCAATTTATGATAGATATATCCGCTGACACTCTGCTCGTCAACAGCAAACGTTTTCATCGCCAATTGCATTCGGTCAAACGAAGTCGACTTCCACACAAAATCGACTGAGAAATTGACAGTGAGCTCGTGTGGCACACCATCGTTCCTGCGTAATTCAAGTGCAACCTCATCCGATTGACCTAATAACGCGTGGTCATTGCCAATATCAGCGTTTTCCGTCTCATGAGTACAGGCCTGGAGTAAAGGAATATGCGTACTGTTGGGGACTTTGATCACATGTCCAAGCCCTTCCCAAGGTCTTTGAAGCTCTCCGGCGTAGCGAAGACGAAGCTCATCTCCCACTGCCAGACGCACTTCCCCACTTTCGAGTTTGGGTAAGTAGAAATACGCGATTCTGGGAAAATCATGACAAGGAACAGGTAAGTTGACTGCAAGTATCAACGTCACTTAACGACGTTCTATCCGGGAGGATGAAGACAAACCGTTTTTGATTAAGCCCCATGTCCCATCTAACTGTCACATCATTTTGCGTCAAACTCTCCTTCAGTTTACGATCATAATCACTTTCAATCTTGACCAACGGTCCAAATATATTCTGGTATTGATAAGCATCCTCATAACGAAGTAGAATCGGTTGTGGTTCGCCCTCGCCTTGCCCTCCATCTCGCTCAAGATCATCTAGGGTTGCACCTGCATTTTCCTTCCACATTTCCTCGAGTAAGGTGATCTCCTTAAAGCCGACTGGGCGTGAGCGTACGACCTCCTGTTCATCGGGAACCTTAACAAGCCATGACAAGAACTGCCTGTCTTCAATGAGTGGAGACCACTGGGAGGTGTCCCAGACCAGATCGGACTTGGAGGATGGAGTAGATGCACAGGGCTGTCGACATAGCAACACTACGACAGTATCAGACTTGGCAGGTATAAATCCCAGCGTGAAAACATTCTTCGATCCACAATTGTAACATTCGGGTGTCGTTTCCCCTAGAGGTCCGTCGGCGTGTAAAGTGACTTCTTTGTGTTTGGATCTCACTAAGTGATTAACGATGTGAGAGCCTGTCGAGTGAGTCCCGGGACCTCCACGGGAGTTGCAAAACCACTTTGAACAAATCAGGCATCTGACCACCGACGATGGTGAATGGATTCCACAATATGCACAGGCGTGAGGCGGTAATTCTCGACTCATGTCATCCAGAACGCCATCAAAGTCGGCATCAGCTTCTGTGAGATCGCCGATCACCGGAAGGTTAGATGATCCATTGGATTGAGAAAGGTCCTGTCCATTTCCATTTGCAGGGTGACGATGCCGGTTAGCATCGGCATCACCATCCAGCAAGCTCAGTTCGTCGAAATTGATATCGATGGTCGAAGCTCCATCGTCAGTAGCATGGTCACGAGATCGACGAGGGCGAGTAGCACCGGATACGAGTGAGAGTGTGTCGTCTTCATCGTTGGAAGGATTATAACTATATTCGCTAGCACCCTGAAGGTGAGAAAAGGGCTCCATAATGAAGTTTGTGTCTGACAGTAAAATTGTTTGGGGCCGCCGATCTCAGGTGAGAGGAAGAATATGGATCAGCTGTATTGTACAACTCAGTTGCAGTCGGGGCACGGGTCTCTCAAGCTCGGACTTCAACGGCCCGACAACATTCTCCACACTGTACAGTGTAAATACATCTTCCTCTCATAGAATTTGCTGAGGAAATACCGCTGGAGTGGGCCATATATATTTGAGGTTGCACATAAAAATTCAGCAAGTCCCAGGTTGTGCATCCGTGTCTGTAATGCTGTGATTGCCCTTATATCTTGCTAAGAGCATCCGCACTCGTTTGCGGTTGTTAATTTGGTCACGTGCGGTAACAAACACAACATTAAGTAAAAAGTTACTTAACTCAACCAAATTTCGCACTCGTTTGCATTAGCAGCGCTGTAACTTTTATAACTTTACAGATAGTGCATGTACTCCGCACCGGTTGTGCAGTAAGGTAAAGTTTTAATTTTTTGAGTACACATCACCTGCTTTCATGGCCAGTTTTCATGTGATAGAGGCACTGTTCTCTTCTTTGCACTAAGATACTAATACTCCATCTACACATGAAGACCCGATATCATCCTGTTCATCTACTCGATCGATAGATCTTAATTTAAAATTACAAATTTAACATGAGTTTGTTCAGATCTTAATACATGAATTCCAATTAAAAAACAAAGGCTTTACTACATCGAGAAAGCTTTTAATGAGTCTGAATACACATAATGATCTTGTAAAAGATTTAAAGAATTTAAAACTAGGAAATAAAAATCCAAACTTCAATTTTTAATTTGTATCACTTGATCCTAAAAGTCCTCCAATGATTGGTCTTTTAATGTTGATTTTCTTAAATATTGACCTCTACATAGCTATATGAATCTAGACATCTTTCATTTTCATCTGAATGGTTTGGAGTCGAGTTCAAGATGGTTGATTGACTTATTTCAATTGAAGACATCGATCGGTGTCGAACGTTCTCGAGTTGATTCATGCAACTGTAAGGCTTGGAATTCATCGTGTGTGAGTGGTGAAAAGGAGATATTGGTTGTTGACTTTGGTGTTGGAGGTCTGGTTGAGTTTTGTTTTTGGAGTCGAGTTGCCGGGAACAAGTCGTGATGTGTGATACCGCATGCGTTAGCCAATTGGTAAATTTACCGATTCGCTAACGCAAAATGACCGAAAATTAACTACCGCGGGGCTAATTTTTCACCGGTGTGGAAAAGACCCCGCGTTTGCGGTAAATTTAACCTTACCGCACCCGACTTACCGCACGAGTGCGGATGCTCTAAGTACTTGTTTGTTCTATGATGACCATTTTATTTGGAATGGTTTATAATGCCAGGCTCTTGTCATGATGTGTGTGAATGATTAGGAACAAGTCATATATACCAAAACTACTTAAAACAAATCTTCTGGTAAAACAATCACAGACTGTGTGGTAAATAAGCCTCTGCCATCATCAATGTGTATTTCAAAGTATCGTAAAATTGACCTATATATTCACTGTTGAGGTCTAGAATGATCAGATTGACTTAAAACCTGCTGTAACTCTTACCAGGCTGAGATAATGGTACAACTAATTTCAAAAAGGTTGACCAATGTTTGCCCAACAAAATTGAGTGATTTGGCTTAGTATTCTTGTCAAGCTTTGTGAGATTGACTGTGATCTGATCATTCCAAGTTAACAGCCAATTGACTTCAGTTTGCTTCAGATGCTGACCCAGAGTTGGATATTTTGAATGTAAATACCTGTATAGCTGGCCTGTTTCTTGAATTTCATAGACTTTTTATCTCATGAGTCATTGGTTTTTGGAGATGCAAAAAAATGCAATCCTTGATACAAACATCTGTGATAACAAGTCAAGTTCTTTGAAACAAACTGTTTGAAGTACAAAAGACATTCACATGAAAATATTGTCAAGTACTTATGGAAAACACAAGACTGAAACAAATGTTTTTGTGCAAGTCTAAAACTTTTTGTATACAGTGACATGACCTAAAGCCAAACAACACCCTCCCTGATGTGCCTATTCAAAAAGTGTATATTGAAGAGAGATGAAGAAGAGATGAAAGGTGAATGATATTAAAAAGAAGCCAGAAACATATAGCCAGTATGTGAAATTCTGAAAAATCACATGGACAAAAGATTCAACAAAAATAAACACTCCTCTCCTCAAAAAAGAGTGTCAAGTTTCCTAAGAAAACTTCAAACAACAACACAATTGATGCAAAATCCATTTTATAAACTGATCAAGCTGTAATCTTCAGAATATCTAAAAAAACTTCCAAGAAAAATGGCCTGAACTCCATAGGATGAGAAGAAATCCCTCAAACAAGAACTCACATCAAAGAATAATAACAGAAGTCCCCACATGTGCAGGTTGACCAATAATATTAAAAACCCTGGTCCAGCAATGTCACTGTTGTGTGCTGCATTGCGGAGACATTTTTTGTTTTTGCTCTGTACCACTCCCTGGATCCAATAAATATGTTGCCGCCTGTACAGCTGCACAACAAGATCCTTGGGAGCTATGATTTCTTTGGACTGAAAGAGCACTTGTTGTTCTACAGTCCGCAACCAGAGCTTTATTTGTGTCTTTTGGCGCTGTTGTACATGTTGTGTTGTGCAACAGAAAGATGTGCTGTTGTGGTGCCCTCCATAATGTAGCAAGATCTGTGGCTGGTTGTTACTTGTTGTGGTGCAACACAGCTGCAAATCCATCTGGTGTGGTGTGCTGTATTTCTAGCCCAGGGTTTCCAATAACATGATTCTGCAAGTCTGGAAACCTTAAAGCAACGTGGCCACAAACATAGATATGGAAAGCCTTGGAAGATCCCACACCTGCAGGCTGAATACAATCCATGGAAGCTGCTGCCTGATCTAGTTCAGTAGCACAAACAGACCTGCAATGATGTCCTAAGATTCCCAACACCCATTGGATCAACAAAGAAAATCAAATTGGCCTAAAACTCTGTCCAGGTTGTCAATTTCAGGACTAAGACCCTATTTCTTGATTCAAAATATTTGATCCGCCAACAAATATCATCCTCATTCTTCTTATTAGTTTAAATAGGAAGACAGCACCCTGATTACACACCAGGTAGTAAAATTTGTAAGGCAAATCTCCCTAATGGAAGTGAGTGTAACCCCTAAGAGATCCACTCCTGCATCAATTGTCTCAGCCCTGAGCCCTAATTACAGGACCATGGGCTAACAGTACCATATGTAATATCAAAATATTGTATAAAGCCATAAGCTACATCTCAAGGCTCAGTTTCAAGAGCCACTTAAATACATGTATGTATGTAATGTATTAAATACATAGTAAACCTAACCCAAGTGTCAACCACAAGTTGACGCGTGAATAGACAAGACTCACATGCCAACCACAAGTTGACGCTGGAACTGAGACTATATAAACCCCCCCTTCTTCCCTAGAATCACCCCCCATCTTTTACTACAATCGCAACACAGAACCACATTTTACTTGACTCCTACTGAGAGGATCTTCAAGTACATGGTTAGTTGTGTAGCTTGTTAAAGACCATTCTTGAGCATTACGGGTTCCATTGCTGAACACCCAAGGTACTGATTTCTACAAGCCCAGGGCATTCATTGTGTCTAGAAATAAACCTTGAAGTAGCAAAGCTTCCTCCTGTTTAAGGAGTCTAAAGTAGCCTTCAGGATCTTTGGTTTACCAAAGTGTAAAGCCTGCCCCTCGCAGTCTCACAAGGTTAGAGCACATTAGCTCTTTATTGCCCTTATATTTCCTTTCCCTTTCTCAAATCCTCTTCTTAGAGGTCAGCTAGCTGTAGTCTTCACTTGGGTGTACCACGTGAAGACCGCACCTTCCTTTTCCTACTCTATTTTCTGTGAAGAGTACGCCTAACAGACGTGTACTCCTCACAAATTGCTAGTCTCTAAGGGTATGACTGGGAGTTGAGACATTTTTTTTGAGGCAACCATAAGAAACTTTCATCTGTTGCTGGATAAACATTCATTTTTTGGAATCAACCACTGTGTTTGTGTGGTGTTTGCTTGTTGGCAAGCGCACACAAGTTGCCTTTGTGCCTCAAAGGCAGTCTGTGTGTGCTCGTCCTTGAGAGACCGCCACACAGATACGGTGAACAATATGACCAATCATTTCAAAAACTGTTCTGTGGACTTGCTTATTCCATACCCAAGTAACACCCAAGATATCAAATAACATAAGAAGTGTTGCCTGTGGACCAGGAATTTGATGTTCTTTGAATGTAATCCAATCATCAGTTGTAGCTGCAGACCAGAGGTTGTTCATCATATCATTGGGATATTTAAAATGACAAAAATTTTCCACAATTCAAAGCACAAGTGAGAACACTCCACACCAGATGTGGGGCAAAGCCAAATGACCAAAAGGAAGGTTATGGTCAGTATTATCCTTTTTTGGACATTGAAGATGAAGAGGTAGCATCCTAAAAGCACCTCATATGTCAGATTGGAATAAGGTAACATTTCTGTGCTTCTGGTTGAGCTCAATGAGAAAAAGATTGCAGTGGATCATAGGTCACTTTGATTTTCTCCTTATCAATGAAGTCATTTGGAAATGGTTTCCCAGAACTCATAATTGAGCAAACCCTCATCTTATATGCATCCTTCTTGGAGTTTTATCTGCATCCTTCTTTGAGGTCATCAATAGTGGAATGACCTTTATGCCAGGTAGCCATCTTGAGAATTTTTCAGAGTATTGACCTTTCTGTTTCCTTTCACATTGCTTCTCTGTATCCCCCTGATTTTTAAAAAAAGTGTTATCATTGGGAGTATTAACAATTTTCAATGAAGGTGTAGAATAAGCAGGCCGGAAACCTTCTCTGAGGCCTCTCATTGCTGATTTCATGAAAGGTTGATTCAGATGGAACTTCAGGGAGTGTTCCATCTTTTCTACTTTGACAAGATTTGATACTTTGAAAATATAGTGATACTACTTCTTGAGAATAAACACAGCATCCTTGTTGTCATCTAGAGTGGGAGCATCCAGAAAAGGCTTGGCTGTACAACTCAATCCAGTAGCATCCAAACACTCAAAAGGAGAAAGACCATCACATTGTTTTGAATGCAGTAGCATATTAGTAAAAGAGGACTGTCCAGAGAAAGTAAATATTAATTCAAAAAAAGAAATTCCAAACCAAAAATGTAGGTGCTTGCAATCTTGGTAGGGACAATCTTATTGCTCTTCCAAACTAACACCTTTTGCATCTGTGAGCTCAAGATCCTCCTTCATGTTTGTAATCAGGAGTAATGGGCTTCATAGAGGGAGAGAGGACCTCCTTTTATTCAAGAAAGAGTTTGAAAGGAAGGCTGAAGATGTCACACATGAGTAGCTAATCCTAAAGGGAAGTATATCAAAAATAAATAATTACTTGTGGATAAGATGAAGAAGCCACAGGATTGAAAGTATTCTGATGCTAAGCACTGCCAAAGAATTCATGTGTTTTAAGGACATCAAAATCCGTGTGATCCCAATAAGTAAAACAAACATATCTTCTATCCGCAACTTGACTTCTAGAAGCAGCATTGTAATCCATTAGGTTTTTCCAATTTTGCTAAAACCAAGAGCTGAGATTTGATATATTTAGAATGATCCAAAATGCATTTTTCACAATCTGGAAATGCCATCCTGATGGCTTTCTTAAGGGTTCTAAAATAATGTTCCCATTCCACCAAGTCCTCAATTTTGAAAGTATAATATTTGGAAACCTCCACTTTCTCTTTTCCAGAAGGCATATATGTAGTTTCTCCATTCTTCTTATCACAAAGCTCTCCCTTGATTTGACGTAAATCAATAAAATGGCCTTGAAGGTCTTTCGATAAAACTTCAGGTAAATAGGCAAGTTTTCCATTTTGGTTGAATCCTCTAACAGCTGCAGCATACTTGATTAAATTCCTTCAACATCAGCCACAAACAAACAAGCACTTGGCATGAACTCCACATCATCTTTGACTGTAGCAAGTTTATTTGTGATAAAGGCCAACTTTTTGTTGTCCTTGTTGGATTGGGTTGTTGATACAGAAGAAGTGGAGGAGAGGCTTTGATTATGATTATGTCCATCTTGCTTCTTTCCCAAATGTTTTCCTTGTTTATCCAATAGCATATTGATCTTATTTTGAGCATCAATATTGGCTCTGGACAATGAAGCAACTCTGTCTTCCATGGACATATCTCCAATCTGTAATAATGGATATCCAACAGATTCATCAACTCAATCTTGATCAAAAGGTCCAGCTGTTGGGAAGCTTGGCTTGAAAAGTCTGGAGGCTATTCTGGATTCAGGGGAGAAGCAAGCACCATGTCAATATCATTGTAGCACATTGACGTGCACACACGGAGAGTTTTGAGATAAATCTGGAAGTCTTTTGGTCAGATTTAGACTGAGATTGTTTTGTTGGAACCAATAAGGTACGTTTGGTTCCTAAGCCCACAGGGACTTAGCTAAGAGTCAAGAGTGAACGTAAGAGACTGTACACAATTAACCCCCGCGGGAATCGTGGTACAGCTCATAGAGATTTGCCCTTAGAAAATCCTCACTCCGCACTCGACAATTTGGCTAAGTCATCATCCCTCAATAGTCTCAACAGATTATAGATTGTGTTCATTGAAATTTCAAAACCCACCAGCCCACCCAAAATTTAGGTTTAAAAAGATCAGTATTAAAACCATGAGGTAAAAGTAGAGAAGTGGAGTACAAGACTCACAAAAGTTTTTGTTCCCCCTAAGCCAAACCGAACAAAAGGTTCCCGCCCGCCGACCCAACAGTGAGAGCCCAGCCGACAGTGTCTCCTTTGGCTCAGAGAAGCCAATTGGTTTTACAAAACCAATCGGGGACAGCTGGGCTCCGCCGCTACCGCAAACAAACACCCTCTGACAATATGTAAGAGGTGTTTTTGGGCATTTGATTCAGAAAGAATCATCTTTAGGAATACACCTGACTGAAATATCACTCAGGTAGTCTTGCAATATGAACTCAACTCAAAGCTATATGAGGAGTGGGCTTCAGAACCCTATGTGAACAATGATTCAGCTATAGCATTCCCAGAATCCTTTGGCATCAGCTGGGGTCACCTGCCTGTCAACATCCCAGTTTATAAAGGGAATATGTGTCTGTTGTGGAACCTTTTCAATAGATATTTTGAGGGTCTAAGGAAACTACTTTGTGTGTGCACAACAACATGCTACAAGGATACAAACACGGTGAAGAGTATACACCCTGTCCTTGTCTGATCTAGGAGTAGACATTGGCCTAGGCCCCTCATCTTCATAAGATGGTATTTTTGCCGCCCTATCTGTGCAACCAGGGTTGTATGCCAATTCTGACCATTGTCAATGCCAATTCCTTGTTGAATAAGGTAATATTTTTGAAAAATGCCTCCTAAGAGACAGCCTTGGTGTATTGTTTGTACGATTGGTCAAGAGATATTTCTCTGGAGTTCATCAAGCTTAACCATAATAGTAGGGGCTCCTTCATAAAAGCCAACATCACTAGATATACATTAGTTCACTTTGATTTAAAAACAGTAAAGAAGAGACACATGAAAAAATAACTATCACCAATAATAATTTTAGGAAGGATATGAGGAAAAAAGGCTAGATTTTTATGAAATTGTTTTCAGAGAATAACTGCTTCAAAAATAACTTGCTAACTTGCTAAACTTGACAATGATAATGATGAATTGGAAATCTAGACAAAATTAGTAACAAGAAAGGAATGGTAATTGAGACAAAGGTAAACAGGATGATTTCATTTTATCAAGTGGTAAAATAACCACAATGACCTGACCCCCAAAATTGAATCATTTATAATTGAAGTACCTGATTCCCAATATCAATCAGTAAATAATTAGTTACCTGCACCTATTCCTTACCCTTGAAATTTTGGCATCTTCATCTTACACAAATCAGCTGGAATCAACAAATCTTCTTATTTGCGTTCAATCAATTGATACCCATTCTGATCATAAAATTGTGGTCTACATTGGACAGACAGAATAAGTCCTCATGATCTTCACAGGCCATCCCACTTTGAATATTAGTCAGCTGAAGAACGATGGTTATGTCAAGTTTGTCCAGGAGAATTCTGGTATAGCTCTCTGCTATACCTTATGCCAGAAGATCCATGCCTGAATGGCCTTCATCAGTAACTCATTTGTGTATCCTTGCTGGGTATCTAGGTAAACTCAAACAAGAGTCATAGGTCTTAATAGCTCAGTTGGGAGAGCGTCAGACTGAAGAGTCGTGCAATCTGAAGGTCCAGTGTTCAAGCCACTGTTGGGACAATCTTTTTGTTGATTCACGCTCGTTTTCCCCTTCCTATGAGCTCCACAGAGCGTGGGTCACAAGATGGACAGATGGGAAAAGGTATCGAAGTAAGTTTGTTTGATGTGGTAGAATATATTGATTGAATGAGTCTGTGACTGATTCAAGAGTGGCATGTTGTTATACAAAGAGAATACTTGGGGTTTGTAAAAAGGTGGCTGTAGGATATTGCACTTTTAAGATTTACCTTGATTTTGTGCAGATAGCTTGCAAGAGAGTGGATTGTATTTCGTTATATATAATGAAAAAGCAAACTAAATTGATTCGAATTCAAAAGAAATGGCATTGTGAGGAATTGTTTACAAAACTCGATGTGAGGGCATAAATGCAATGATCTTGATTGAGAAGTGATCGAGCTACTCTGGGCTCAGTGATCGGTGCAAAAACTCGGTGACATACAGATCAGAAAATTTTGTCGATCACTAATCAAATTCCTGACTCGCCTTTTGATAAAACTTCTCATCGAAAAGATGTTACTTACTCAAAAACAGTGACTGTTCTTGCGATAACCTCAAGACTCGAAACGACCACACTTTAAGTACCATGTTGGTTTGTAGAATGTAGCTATCGAAGGCTAATAAGCATTTACAGACCATTGAGAACATCTCGTTTTATATACAATTGAGCTAATATTTATATACAATTTTTCTAAAATATACACCGGAACAAATAACAACAGATTTCTACGCTATACTAGATGATAGAAGTCGAAACTGAATAATGAGCAAGACTTTCAAAATACTCTATGCTAGATGATAGAGGAAAAGAAAGTTAATAAAACACGATTGTAAATGTTACAATACAGATACCAGATGTTTTTCTGAAAGCAGGAAGGATTTTTTGTATAGTCAAAGTTTTCGAAGTATATACAGTAAGAAAGATACAAGTTGCCGTATAGTTAGGATAAGTGCAATTGTTGATAAAAAAAATGAATGCTTTGAAGCAATGACATGAACCAGATGTTTGCTTTGTTTTTTTGTTCCATAGGAACTGAACAATAAATCGCCAGCGAAAGAGTCTTGTGGATTTTTATTCTAGATTCGACCCCGAATGAAATGTGAAAGCTTTATGCAAACTCCCAAGCAATCTAGATTACGTGGAAAATGGGTCAAAGTAAGTTTATCAACTGATCAATTCGGCCAATAGCTGCTGGTAACTCACTGGTAAAACTCCAGTGTCGAGTTCACCCAACGCCTTGAAAGCTGAGGGGGTCAGGTCTAGAGATCCATAACCGCACCCAGGGCACTGTGTAGATCGTGAAGAAACTCGTTAGTCTCATGAAAACTTCAAAGGAAAAAAAGAGAAAGGAAAAACTCAACTAAGTCAGTCACTTTAGCCTTGATGGCTTTCCCATTGGACTTGTTAGTAATCTTGACAAATTTATAGCAAGGGTCACCAGATCCGTACTATCAAGATCAAGAGCAAAAAATAAGAAGGAAAAATTAAGGTCAAGTCAGTTCCCCTCCTCAAAGACATCAATCAAGAAAGAATAGTTGAAGTCGAAAAGCACGCAACTTGAGGATAGTTCATGGCGACTATATAATCTTCCACGCCATCAGACTCTCCACAAGCCCCAGTGTCGGGGTAGAACCAGGTAGCACGACCTTCATATGATTGGCTTGAGGCAGTACTTGACCTAGTATCTGAACTCAACTCAACCGGGGACCCGCCCGATAAGGCTACAATCATGAAAGAAATCACAATGACGTAGAGAGAGTACATGCTGACAGATTCAAGATGAAAGTTTAGAAACTGGATTTATATAATAACAGTAGATAAAAGTGAAAATTATCTGGATTGTTTCTTTGCGTTTATCTTACGAGTTTATCAGTGGATTGATACCTTGGTTTTTTATTCGACAGGGATAGAAGCCTCCATTATATAGTTTCTCAAAACTGCTCGCTCAGATATCATCTTTCTTTCATCATCATGGAAATTGATCTGTTTGAAGTTGCAGGGTGCAGAGTTACCCTCAAAGGCTTGTGATTACAACTAGCTTGTGACGCTAGAAAAAGATATGCATGCTTGTCGTCATGATTAAAACTGAAAGGTGAGCTTTGACCGAAGATCTTTGAAGATACTGAGTCGATGAAGTTCTTGAGAGCCACTTCATATTTGGGGACTGGTCTTGACGCTCTGGCCGATCGATACAATACCTCCGGGCATTTATCATCTCGGCGACTGATTAGAACGAGTTGATCCGGTTTTGACTTGTGTTACTTTCGGCTTGTAGTTTATAAATTTGCAAATGACCTGCGTGAATGTAATAAATTTGTGTCCCTCATTCGATGATATAGCCGGGCATTCTGAAGCCGACAAAGTTTCCACACAGCGATTTGTTTTTTATGACCACGGCTCTACGACTATGACGTAGAAGGATGATACATTTCTGGTCTATGCGCTATAGATCGTTCTGGATTCTCAGAGAAAGCTATATAATGGAAAATGCCGCATCTTTTTCTAACTAGGTCTGCCTATACCACTCAAATCACGTCATGATTGTCTTCGCACATCATCCGAAAGGTTGAGTGTCCAATCTGTCAAGTCAGTCCCTCAAAATTTTTATTCATCAATTTGTAGGGTCTTCATGAGGAAGAACCGTTACCAGCTTCAAACTTTCGATCAGCTCCGGAAAACCAAGTAAGTAGCCAGAGTGATGGCATCATTTTCTATAGCTTCCATGTTGAGGGACATTTTCATTGAAGCAATCGCGGTCCGAATTTTCAACTACATTTAATTTTAGGGTGTAAATTCTCTCAAATCAAAAAAGGACCAACGTGCGGGAGGCTCTTGGTATGGAAAGTGGAGTTGGGGACGCGTGCTCGCGAGGAGCAGAGTCAGGCTTGCGCATAAGCGTTCAAAGACATCAACTCGAGTATCAATATTCTTTGATCACAGTTTCTTCTGAATTTGAATCCTCAACTTGACACTGAATGACTCACAAAAGGGTTGGTCGATGAACCAGTTTTTTTGATGCGATCTTTTCAGTAATTACGCTATCCAAATTGGAGTCAAGGTCTGACTCTGACTTGAAGCTGACGATGTGCAAGTTGGCCAGATAATTGAGAGTTGATATCACATACTGTCAGTGTCAGTCCTGAGCAAAATATACAGGATTGTCCGGACCTTCTACAAATACATGTCAGCCATATTATTTTTTCCCATGTGCCCTTCAAGTAATTTGTTAGGAATAATGATGCGCCAAGAAAAGCAAAGACACATTTTTTGTGTGTTGATTTAAAGACTTTAACATGTAGAAGAGAAAGATTTTTGTATTCAAAGATTGGACATATCTTATTTGACTCAAGCAAGAATCCAATCACACTGAAGAGATTCACTTTAACCTATAAGAATTCTTTGAGCCATATAGACAGATTTGCCGGATAGCTGGCCAACTCTTTTTACCTGTAAAGCCCTGTTTGTCTTGAATATGATGGAAAAATTTGTACATGCTATAAAGGTGAGGACCGGTGACCTTGAACTCTATTCATCCTTTAATTTTTGCCCCTAACTATTTGTCAATGTAATCTCTTTCAGCTCATCATGAATCAAAAACACAAGCTCATAGATTGTATACAAAGAGGCTCTCACCAAATTTGTTTTTTTTGCTTCATGAAATTCAAAATACACAAGAATTCATTTTTTTTTCTTAAGTTTACTTTTGCACAATTTCGATCTCAAGAGATCACAAGGTACATTATTTATCACATTCAATCAGCATAGGCAACCAAAAAAATGCAATATATGAATTTACTATAAAATTCTGATAGATATGATCCAAAACAAACTCTACATAAGATGATCAACTTCTAAAGCAAAACAAAAAACGAAACCATTCTGAAATCTACAAAACCCAATCTCAATTTAATCCTCTAATCGAACCTCTAAGGGTTCGAAAAGGTATATTTAAAATATGAATTCCTTCCCCATGATTTCCATCAGAAAAAATGTTTTCCAAAACCTTTTTAACTAATTTACCAGCTTCAATCGGTCTAATCTCATCTGAAATCGTTCCAACAGTAATATGAGGTATACAATCCTCTTTAATCGGTAAATCATTCCAACACACAATCTTTTCAGGTCCGATCTTATTGACTTCTATTGCCATAACTTTTGAATCCCATATGATTCTAGGTCCAATAACGATTTCGATATCTTCTGTTTTCATATTGTTGCTTATTGCTTGAGTTCTATATTCATTCCATAATTCTTTCAATCGGTGTTCTGATTCAGTTCCAACTCCAGCTGCTAACTCACTTGAATGTAAAAGAGTAATATGAGGTACAACATTAAATCGTTTATGTGTTATAAATTCATCAAGTAAAGTTCGATTTGAGTTAGGTTGAGTATCAGAAGATTCAGAAAAAAGTTCAAGGACTAAAGTACGTAGATCGATCGGAATCTTAATAGCAAAATAACGTGGTTCATAAAGCTTTGGATCAAGTTTCATTTCTTTTCGTACGTTTGTTCGATATGATTCAATCTGTCCAATAGCATTTGTGAGTAAAGTTTCGGTTGGAAGTGGAAATTGATCAGGTGAAAGTTCATGAAGTCTTTTGACCACTATTTGCAAGTTAGTTGTCAGAGAAGCTTCACAATTCAGCTCGATTACTTCATCAATAAACTCATCCTCTGGGTTCAGTTCGGCATCAAATTCTTCAAAGTCACGTAAGAAATGTCCTAAGACAAGATGATGTACCTCGACGCCACCAGGAGTCAGCTCCGGTCGTAATGACTGATGATTGTCGCCTCGCTTGACGATACGCTCTGAAGTAAGGTGTTGTAATTCGCTACGAGTGTAAGATGGTACGTTCCAAACCAATCCGATCACTCGTGTCTCTACTTTTTTGATGTTGACAGAAGGCTTCCCCTCGGTAGATTTTTGCTTCTTAGAAGCCGATGGGTCTTTCATCTTCACGCCTTGCCTCAATTGGTTTACTAATTCAGATAAAGCTTTTCGATGTGTCTTGAGATGATTATTTTTATCTGCAAAAACCAATTTCGGACCTGATAAATCCAGTAAGAAAGTTTTGAGATTGGCAATAAAAGTTGGACCAGTTTTTTTGGCTTTGATATCATCACTCTGAGTATGATCACATTTATAAAGCGAACTGAGAGCAACACCAAGAGAGGTTTTACCTGGGAGTGTCAAATTATATCAGCGGTTGAAGTACATGAAGAAATTGAGAGATGAACTCGGACACATACCACAACCTGGAATGGCAATAGGTACCAACATGATCTTGTCGAATGTCTTTTCTGAAGATGATGATAAATGATTCGACTTGGATTTTAGTGCTCTTGAATTTGTAAAACCTAAAATACTATGAACATCCACTGTCTTTCTCCATTCTAGAAACCTTTCACGAGTGCTCACGATACCCTGATTAAGTTTCCATTCTTCGAACCGATCATCTTGATAAAGAAGCTCTCCCACCATCCAGTGCACGTAAAGTTTAGACTCAGGATTTTGAATCTTCTTGACATTGATTTTGAGAAGTCGAAGGATTTCGTCCGTATCGCAGGTTGGCCGTTGGTTATCATCAGCACGAGTGATCTGAAGCTCTGATAATTGAGTTTGCTTGAGTTTTTTAAATTCACTCAACATCCGTCTTGTAAGCTCGCGCCATTCTCGATACATAAGATATGGTTCTTCAAACTTGACTTTCCAAAACAATTGCTGATATGGTTTTTCACTATCACCAGGATCGTCGTCTGCTAAAAATCCTCGTACAACCACACCTTCTATAAAACCATCTCTCCCAGGCCAACCGTTTTGTTCGATACTTGAACACTCCCGTTTGACATCTTCAACAGTTTCAACGGTCTTCCATGGTGTAGGATGAAAGCCCCAACGTTTAGCAAAGTGTGCCACATGCTCAGGAGAGTAGGTGTAGAGTAAAGGATGATTGAGATTAAGACCGTGTAGATTAAGACCTATCTCATCATCCGGAGTGGGCAAAACATGTTCCTCAAAGGTATCATCCGTAAGCTCAGCGACAGCAGTGACATTGGCATCCCATAGTTCTGCCGCAAGATCAGCTTTCTTGAGTCCGACAGATTCCAAATGTCGTTCTAACCATCTTTCCCCCATTCCGGCATGCGAGACTGGTTTTTCCTTCAAAGACTTGTTTTCCGGATCTTGCGTTACTAATTCGGTATCCATAGCATGCTTAGAAGTCACTAATATTTGAGAGCGTGTTAAAGCAGATATAAAGATGATGCAACCATTTGTCTTCATGGTGAGGTGATATGGACCTTTCGACTTCAAGGGCAGTGTTTCCCACTATCATCGCACGTAATTATAGATCGAATTTAACAAAAACAAGTGTCAATCTTCTATATCCTCTGATCAATCTTGAACAGGATTGAAAATAAGTAGTGAAACGACTGACATACTCACCCGTGTCCAGCTAACTTCGTCAACATTAAAAAATTTATCATAACCACGTGCAACGATTTGATGACGACCTTGACCGATTGGTAAAGTAAGATTTTCAAGTGTAAACAATCCACGAGCTCTAGTTGGAAACGGACAAGGTTCTTTTCTATAAATGTGTTCTAACATTGACCAAGATCTAACTTTTAATCCTCCAAGACAATCATAAAGGTGTGATCGAATCAATTTTTTAAGTTGTTGATCATTGGTTTCTTTATTTTCCGAATTGATCTTCAGCTTTTCTATTGCTAATGCGAGTGCACTTTCATCGGCCGTCTGCAAGTTGAGTTCGGTATCTAAATTGCTGATACCCTTGCCAAAGTTCAAAAGTTGCTCTACGAGTACATCCGTTCGTTTAAGGTCAACTGAGTCAATCGAACGTGCCAACAGTGAGAGCTCTTTAGTTGGACTCATTTTTCGAAAGGTGAACTCGGTAGAACAACTCGATGGACGGGAGCTCTGCGGTTTATCTGTCGTCAATTATCCTTGCAACTATCTTGCTCTTGCAACCTTGAAAATCGATCGGCTTCGAATTCGGGTTTTCGATTTTGTTCGTCGAAGGAATCCAAGGAAGTGATGAGGATGAAAGTTTGAGATGAAACTCGAATTGAAAAGATATCAAAAGACTTAATAACTGGTCTTAGAACTCCGTCATCGGAGTGTTGAAGTCGAAGGAAGGAAATGTAGAATTTGAAGAATCCCTGAAACACAATTTTGACTGAAAACTCAACTGCTTTTCAAACCTTCTCCTTGTATACAGGCTCAGCCAAGATATGACTGCACTCAAGTTGATGATCGGTCACAACAAGTGACACAAAAAGTGATCTCATATATCTCATCAACTTCATAAGTTGACTATCTTCCATATATTTTTTAAAAAAGTCTCTATATGTATATCAATTTCTCTACAAACTATCCACAAATCATCATCATGAATTTAAACACATATACAAAACTCATCATTCCTATCAATTACTTATCTTTTTAGAGAGAGAGAGAAAGAAATATACCATGTAAATGATTATAAACAAACAAACAAAAAAACAACCTACAATTAAAATGTCTTATATCTTGACTTGCTTTTTGTAAAATAAATGATTTTTAATATATATATATAATCTATTTATCTATCTATCCTTATCTATCCGTATCCATCCATCCATGCATCAAATCAAATATAATCACAAGACACAGAGATGATAAAAGAAAAAAACAAATCACAAAAATGATATATCAAAAAAAAATACTAACTGAAAACTGAAAACTGATTGATCGATTTGAATGGAAAAAAAAATTATAAACCAGAATAATAACCTCTAGCCACTTCTTTAACATCTACTTCATAAGCTTTCCATCTACCTAAAACTTCTTGCCAAATCCCTCTTCTAAGTCCTGGAACAATCGATTTGACTGAAACTAAAAAACTACCACTGATTGGTCGATGATCTGAGATATTCACTTCATATCTTTTATAATTCAAACTGGTCACCAATGGTTTAAATTTGATTTCTTCTGATTGATTAAGAACTTCTTGATTTGTATTGGGAGTTCTATATAATATTCGATCACACCATGCTGGTACTCGATTTTTCTCCGATGAATCATACATATGAGTTCCACTTTTGGTTTGTATTGTACAAAAGAAGAAAAAACTTTGATTAGTGAATTTGGGTCATCTCAAACACCATGAAAAAAATGAAAATCAATACTAACGGATCATATTTATAAGTAGGATGAAAAGTAATAGGAGCTTCTCTAAAACTTTTCAACCTAAATCCAGCATTAAACCGTTTCTCTTTCCTTAACTGATCATCTTCCAATAATTTCAAATATTCTCCTGATGCAATCGCTCTAATCACTTCTTCTCTACCTCTATCGATCCTATAATTTAAATCTCCATATAAAAAACATATCTCATGATCTGCAATCGCACTTCCATTTCCTCCCCCTACATATGCATTTCCTATCGCTCCTCCACTACCTGAAGTCGATTCCGGTGGATCTGGAAATCCTGATTTTTCTTCTAAAATGTCAATCAAATCTTCATGTCTTTGTCGAAGGTTTTTCTGTCCTGCTGCTAGATGACAATTAATAAAACAAATCGAAGAATCATCTACCACAAATCTCGCTATGATCGCACCCTAAATAGACCAACAAAAGAGTATCATTAGTACAAGCTTCTCTTCATCTTATCTGAACAAGATATGTCAGTCAAAGATAAATTTCACGCGTACCTTATTACCATACCGACCTTTCATTCCCGTCTTCACCGTTGTAATGGCTATGTCCCTCATTTTTGCCCGCTCAGAGACTTTGACAAATACGCAAGTGAATAACTATTTTGAAAGCAGAAATAAACCAGATCAGATCATTTCTCTTTCCTTGGAAGCTTCTTGGTGAGACTTACCCCGACCAAGTTTTGCGTATGAGCCACCACATATGGCTCATCAGCTGGCATAGCCAATCTAACAGCCGCCACCAGTCGATCATGCCAAAGTCTGTAAGATTGAGAAACCGCATCAGAAAGTTTCTCAGCTCCTTTCTTTCGACTACCTAACAGAACGGTTTCTAATCAAACCAATCAAACCAAACCAAAATCAGCTTCTCTTCTTTTTACCATAATACAAAAAATCAATGACTAAACTGGCTGTAAGTTTCTTGTTATCAAGATCGATCATCTCTTGGAACCCAAAGACAATCACATCTGGACTTTCTTCACTAGATTTCAAAACATCATCCAAAAAGTTTAAATTATCACTCGTCCCGTTCAATTCGCTAGGTTTACATGCGTCGATATTCCAGGAGCATATCAAGACTCTCATCGGTCGATAAGCACAAAACTCTGATTCTCGTTTTCTCATTTCAGTCGCTGTTTTGATATTCAAGCAAAACAGAACAAGATTAGAATCGACTTTGAAGAGATGGAAAGTGTGAATGAGGATGAGTAGGAGAAAAGGGGGTCGAACCTAGCCAATCTGCACCCATGGTTCCGTCCCATAATTTAACTTTCCAATCTGTACTAGTTGTAGCCACATGAAGTTTACTAGCTTCCTTTTGTGTCGCAGCAGTTTTTATTCATTCATTTAAACATCAATCAGATCCGGATCCAAAAAGGAAATCAAAAATTCATCAATCTCTTTTACGTATTGCTCGAAGAGATTAGGAAAACCAAAAAGACTTACATCATCCCACAATAGACTAGGATCAACCACGATTCTGGTGATAGATTCTTTATGAGCTTTCCAGACTTTCAATACCTTCCACCCGCCACCACCGCCACCGGAATCATCTTGTTGCTGCTCACAGGTATCATAGACATACACATTACCCGTCCTAAAGCCTGCCCAAAGATATTTGGTAACACCTTCAAGGGCAGTGATTTGATAATTCGAGATCTTGATCAGTTTCTTAAACCCAACCCCTCCATTCTTCTCCTCTTTGTTGTTCCAAATCGAAACATGACCAGTTTCGTGACCAAGATAAACAATTGACGGTGTTGAAGGTATCACTGCTCCAGCACTCACAGCCCCAATGGTCGACCCATTATCAGGAATACTCAATGGTCTGGGCGTAACGGTCCAAGCCTGAGTAGGATCAGGATCATAAACTCTGATGCTTGGACTACGTTGTGCCAAAGTTGAAGCTGATTTAGATCCAGAAGGTCCCGAGGAGGTCCATAGCTGATGACTTAACATTGCAGCAAAATTAGTCTTATCTGCAACCCTCTGAGCTCTTGCAGTTCCTGAAATTTTCACTCCAATCTTGGGACTGATCGGATTCGTCCAGATTTGCACTTTGGCGGTTTCGTCCAACGTACACATCCCTCCAAATTTACATCTAAAGATTCCAATAATAGATGCAGAGTGTAAAGATGCTTTTGAATCTATCATCCGTCGTTCGAAACAATCATATTCAAACAATTGTCCATCTTTCGCCCCGCACCAAACATATCGACATCCTTTCCCTCCTACTTTCCCATCTTCAAAACTATTGCAAGCTTTGAATTCCATAGCAGTGATTTTTACATCTTGCAAACTACTGACTGAATTCTCACAATCTCCAGTTAAACTAT